ATGGGACCTAAAAAGAGTTAGTCAGACATCAGAGCAGAATCGGACTAGCTTTTCAAATAAACCATTAGGAGGTTAGTTTTTAGCTGAGTTTTACAAGATCAAACATAGCTACAAATAAGACATCAGCAATTTCTGTGGATGAGTTATTTTTTTAATTTGAATGAAAAATTATGTATACAAATTATTTAAAGTAAATCATATGTTTGTCTCTAGTACACACTGTATTGAAGAAAAAAACATGCATGGTGGGTTTTTAAACGCCCGCCCGTCAAATTTTTGACGGGACGTATTATGGTATACAAATGTCAGTCTGTTCGTCCGTCTGTCTGTCTGGCGTAAACATGTCGCACCGTAACTTGAGAATGACTTATCCAAATTTCATGAAACTTAACATAGTTGTTTCTTATGATGGTCAATCGATCTGTATACTTTTTGGTGAAAATAAGATTAAAACTTTTTGAGTGACGGGACTTAGTAACTAAAACAGGTGTGTGTTTTTTTTCACATGTCGCTCACGCAGGTTTTATGAACAATTTATGATTATTGCTTAAAACTTTACACACTTCTTAGTTATATTAATCTTAAGATCTGTATACTTTTTGGTGATGATTCAAAATTTTATTTTAGAGATATTGAGTATTTTGTTAAAAAAGGGGGAGGGGTTTTTCACATGTCCCGCCGTTTCTCAAAAACAGTTTATGATTATTGCTTAAAACTTTACACACTTCTTTGTTATATTAACCTTAAGATCTGTATACTTTTTGGTGATGATTCAAAATTTTATTTTTGAGTTATTGAGTATTTTGTAAAAAAAGGGGGAGGGGTTTTTCACATGTCGCGCCGTATCTCAAAAACAGTTTATGATTATTGCTTAAAACTTTACACACTTCTTAGTTATATTAACCTTAAGATCTGTATACTTTTTGGTGATGATTCAAAATTTTATTTTTGAGTTATTGAGTATTTTGTAAAAAAAGGGGGGAGGGGTTTTTCACATGTCACGCTGTATCTCAAAAACGATTTATGATTATTGCTTAAAATTTTACACACTTCTTAGCTATATTAATCTAAAGATCTGTATACTTTTTGGTTTTGATTCAAAATTTTATTTTTGAGTTATTGATTTTTTTTTTTTAAAGGGGGGTTTTCACATGTCGCGCCGTATCTCAAAAACGATTTATGATTATTCCTTAAAATTTTACACACTTCTTAGTTATATTAATTCTCAAGATCTGTATACTTTTTGGTTTTGATTCAAAATTTTATTTTAGAGATATTGAGTTTTTTGTAAAAAAAAAGCGGGGGTTTTCGCATGTCACACCGTATGTCAGGAACTATTTATGCTTATTGCATAAAAATTCACACACAAGACGACGGGCGTATCATGCGCTCATGGCGCAGCTGTTTATTTGTTTAACAAGAACTTTTTTATCATGTGTAGCATCTGTCATTTTCTGTCTGAACAGCTTTTCGATGGTTTTCTTTGCTGTCTTGGTCAACAATACACAAGATAACAACAATAAGAAATGCAAAAATTTTATTTAATTTTGTCATTTCACTGTTCTTTTTCAATTTTTCTTTTGTTCCATTCTTTTTATTTCTCTTGACTTCTGCTGGCTTCTGTAAAGAAAATGTTAACAAATTAGTCCTGTTGTTTAGTGAGTAAACTAGTGGAGATACATTGTGTAATTTAAATTTCATCAAATTACACAAGAAAATTTTATTTTAATCCAGTCTGGTTTCATAAAAATGTATATTGAAAAGCGACATCTAATCAGTGTGGCTGGATTCGGAAGGAATATTCATAGCTATTAGATATGCACGTACATCTGTGGAGTTTCAGGTGTATTATTATCATACGAGTCTGTAACGGTAGAGTTCACCAGTACTAAAATAAAACTGTACAGTACCATTTTCCAAACTGAGAATAGGACCTGTAACCTTTACTTGGTCTTACAAAAAATCAACTCTCTTAATGGTAATTGTATATTTTAACACAAATACATTTTTGTGATATAGATTGAGGCTATAAAAGGATAAATACCTTCACACAATCTGCTCCTCCAGAATGTTTTGAATCTAAGCTTATAAATTTTGGCTCTTCTAATTGTTTCTACAAAAGATAAAAAAAAAGTCAAAATATTAAATAAAATACAGTCAAGAAAAAATCACATTGTACTAGTCAGCTACAAAGGTCACAACATTAAAAAATGAAAGAAAATTCAAACAAGAAAACAAATGGCTTGATTTTAAATTATAAAATAAGACAATAAAAAAACAAATATATATGTATACATATCAGAAATTAACCAACTATAACTACTAAATTAAAGGCTCCGGACTAGGATTGACACATTAACAATTATCTATACTTACTAAAAATGTATCTGGCCTGGCCTGAAGGGCTAGCAAGTAATCACAGGCACTTGTCTCAGAAAAAAATGTGCGATTAATCATGAAAACTGTATAATGAATATATTGTCTTTCATGGTTACAAATATCTACCAGTAGAAAATGTCTGCAATATTTCACTATTTTATATTACTTTACTAACTAATACATTGTTGATGACGCTGAAAACAGCATACCTAATATATGCAGATATGCTATGTCTTGCTTTTGGACTCTGTCAATGCAAGACAAAAAGGAAAGAAATCAATGATTCAAGTTCAAATATATTGATTGATTGTTGGAATCTTAATGTCCAGTGACAAATATTTAATGCATGTTCCAGCCAAAGTTTAATTAAACAAGCTAAGGAATGGTTTGAATTTTTTTAAAACATGTAGGTAAAGATTTTTTAAAGTACTATTACATAGATTAAAATGTTAGGATTGCAAAGGAAGTTTCTGCTTGCCATGAAATATTTGAAAAACAAGATATCGAGTGGATTTAATGGTAAATGTATAACTAATGAAATTTTGAAAAATTCTTGTATGCTGAATGTTGGGCATGATATGTATATAAAATTATGAAACACTACTTTTTTCTTAAAAATTAATAAAATTTTCTCTCTAGCAAGAAGTTCTTATTGGAGAGAAAATTTATTTAACCCATATTCAAAGGAAGATGATTTAATAGCCCTTCAAACAACAGAGGTGTAACCCTTTTTACTAGTTTAGGAACATTTTTTTCCAAAGTATAATAGTTTAGAAAACTATTTAGAATCTCATAAGATTATCTGCCAAGAACATATAGGAATCAAAAAAGGATGTAGAACTATAGCGACCACATTTCTTAGTTTAAAAAATATTTAGTTGGGTTAGTTTTCATAATTATTTTCTAATCAATTTTGCAGAATTTGAAATTATTCCATATTTAAATAATTCCTTGTTTGAACTTGAATTGCAAATAAAACTTCATTATAGATGTACATATCTTTTAAAATTTCCAAAAATGGCCCCATCATGTTATATGTAAAAAGTTTGCAGAGAAGGGCCTCTATATTTTTTTTTACAGTGTCTTTTTTTTTTTAAGTTGATGAAGCTGAGACATATTAAAAGATTTAAGGCTTAAAAATGTAGAATCATGTCTTGTTTAAAAGTGTTATTGGGAGGATTTAATACTTTCCTTGTGTAATTGTCCAATTTTCAAAAGTAATAAATTGTTTATATATATCTGGGACTATTATACTATTAGTATAATAGTCCCAGTATATAACAAGTTAAATTTAATTTTCCCTTGCCCAGCCTGCATGGTCTTTATCACATGTCATGGCCAACAGATAATATCTGTATAGAACCCCTATTTTTGATTATTATTATACAAAATCATTTAAATGTATCCTAGAAAGTTTAATTATACCTTCATGCCTATTTATATGTTCAGTGGGTTTGTTTGTTTGTTTGTTTGTTTGTTTTTCTAACTTGGGGTACATGTATTTGTCACTTGGTATTTCACACTAAATATTTCATATAAAATTGCATTTCAAAAGATTATTTAGGGGACATTTCTGATTTGATTTTATGCAACTTGGTACCAACAGCAGAATAACTGTTTGTTTTATTTTCATTTTCTTCTATCTTGCTATATATTTATATTTCAACCAAATTAGATTGTAAAAAATAGTATATATGTTCACATCAGGAGAAAATAAAAACAACTGATGACAGAGCTATGACAAAACAAACAAATACTCTTTATATACAATTCAGCGTTTTTCAACACATTATTTGTAAAAAATACAACCATAAATGCCTCCAATAAACGTGTTTTTATATGAAATACATCATGTATATACATTTTTATAGCCCAAAAATGTAGGTGACGAAATCTTTTTGGCCATGTACTGAAGCAGCGTTTCCGCTTATAATAGAAGAAATCTCAATATTTTTTAAATACGTCGTTTACCTTTCTATAAGATCTATATTTCTGTCTCTTGTGACAGCTCCACGTAACGTTAGTTCTGGAACAGACCAGGTGATGTAATCATTGGATGCCATTGGCATTGTTTACGTTGTAAATACAGATGCAAACGTTTTACGTGATTGAAGCGTTCAAGTAACCACTTATGGAACCGAAGTGCCGCCACACGTGAAAAGTCGTGAATGATTCCTATTCACAGTGAGTGGTTTCATAATCAGATCTTTCTTGGATTCAATAACTGTTGTATATATTGTTAAATAAGAGAGAGTAAAGTAAAAATCCTTTTCATTATCAAAAGCCACAAAATCAAGTTGGATATTTATTGTTAAGTGATAAACAATTGGTAACTGAAACCCAATTGGAGTTATTGTGTTGAAAGACCTCATTTTGTCAGTTTTTTTTCTTTTTGGTAGTATAAACATAGGAGGTTTTAGGTGATACGGCTGCATATGGTCTGATATATATATATAACTGGTCAGTTTTACTGTCGGTAGGTGTCATAAAACTCAGGTTTCAGGTGCTGACTTTGATGAAATTTTGTGAAAAACTTGGCAAATGCCTGTAGATATATTCTTTAGTTCTTTCAAAAGTTGTATATTAATTTGTAGTAAATAAATTGTGCATTACCATTTCAGATCAAAACTTCATCTGGTAGATTTGGCTGGTTCAGAGAGAGTATCTAAGACTGGAGTTCAAGGTCATCAATTGAATGAGGCAAAATGTATCAACCTCTCTCTTCATTACCTAGAGACTGTTATTATAGCACTTCAGGGGGAAAGTGCCCCGCCCAGTAGACAAAGACCTGGTAGTGGAGGAGTCAAAAAGTAAGTATATGGGAATAGGGATGTCTTGTCTAGTAGACAAAGGTCAAGTAGTGGAGTAATTAAGACGAAGAAAGTATCAATTCAATATTATATTGGAAAGAGCACTATAAAGATGTGATCTTAGAATATTACACAAATTAAACTGTAAACTAATTGACACTTGGTATGATACATCCTCATATTAATGATAAATTGTATGTTCTATCACAGTACACTTAATCAAAATATTGTCTTAATCACTCAGTATTTTGGGAAAGATGAAGGTTTCAATAGGAAGACATTGTGTGGAAAGTGAAGTGGCCAGTTTATAGCCTCCAGTTTGTTAGTGAACAATTCATACATGTGAATGAATTTTCCTAATTATACATCTCAAAACAAAATTTGCAGTTGATACAATGTTACTGTTTTCAAAATCTTGAACAAATATAATGGTCAAGTAAAACAGAATTTGGTTATTATTTCTAAGTAGAACTATTATAAAAAAAATTCCCTTTATGGTGTTTTCATTTGTTACCAGATTCCATTAAAATTTGAATGAAAATTGACAAGTTTGCAACACACACAGTGTTTTCCTTAACCAACACTGACAAAGTATAAAATCTCAGTCTGTATCCTATATACACTCTTCTTAAAGACATGAACCCTAAGTATTACTATGACTTCTCATACTTTATCTTTTCATTTCAGATCTAGGTACAATTTACCAAACAGGCCAGCCACAGCAGAGGGAACAAGAATTGGAAATATCAGTAAACATGTCCCATACAGGAATTCTCTTCTTACTATGGTCCTCAGGGACAGTCTGGGTAGGTTTCTGGAAATATCAGTAAACATGTCCCATACAGGAATTCTCTCCTTACTATGGTCCTCAGGGACAGTCTGGGTAGGTTTCTGGAAATATCAGTAAACATGTCCCATTCAGGAATTCTCTTCTTACTATGGTCCTCAGGGACAGTCTGGTTAGGTTTCTGGAAATATCAGTAAACATGTCCCATACAGGAATTCTCTTCTAACTATGGTCCTCCGGGACAGTCTCGGTAGGTTTCTGGAAATATCAGTAAACATGTACCATACAGGAATTCTCTTCTTACTGTGGTCCTCCGGGACAGTCCGGGTAGGTTTCTGGAAATATCAGTAAACATATGTCCCATACAGGAATTCTCTTCTTACTATGGTCCTCAGGGACAGTCTGGGTAGGTTTCTGGAAATATCAGTAAACATATGTCCCATACAGGAATTCTCTTCTTACTATGGTCCTCAGGGACAGTCTGGGTAGGTTTCTGGAAATATCAGTAAACATGTCCCATACAGGAATTCTCTTCTTACTATGGTCCTCAGGGACAGTCTGGGTAGGTTTCTGGAAATATCAGTAAACATGTCCCATACAGGAATTTTCTTCTTACTATGGACCTCAGGGACAGTCTGGGTAGGTTTCTGGAAATATCAGTAAACATGTCCCATACAGGAATTCTCTTCTTACTATGGTCCTCAGGGACAGTCTGGGTAGGTTTCTGGAAATATCAGTAAACATGTCCCATACAGGAATTCTCTTCTTACTATGGTCCTCAGGGACAGTCTGGGTAGGTTTCTGGAAATATCAGTAAACATGTCCCATACATGAATTTTCTTTTTACTATGGTCCTCAGGGACAGTCTGGGTAGGTTTCTGGAAATATCAGTAAACATGTCCCATACACAAATTTTCTTCTTACTATGGTCCTCAGGGGTGTATAGGTATATATCCATCATCCATACAAATGAAATGGTTGAAATAACTAAATATTTAAACCACAGGTTTTCATCAAGGCTTAGAATTTACTAAAATATTTCAACCTAAAATATTTTTATCAAAGTATACATGTGTGAACAGAAATGAAAAAATGCCAAGATACAATTAGGACAGACTATTACTGGCCTTCCGTACATTAAGAGTCTGAATTCATTCTTTTTATTTTTATTTTTTACAAGAAAACTGTATCAGAATTCTATGATTTTAGGTGGAAATTGTATGACATCTATGATAGCTACCATTTCATTAGAATATAATAATCTTGGTGAATCCATTTCTACCTGTCGATTTGCTGGTCGTGTTGCATGTATAGCTAACAGTGTATCGTAAGTATCATTGTAGAGATAACAGTTCATACAAATAGTCATTCACAGAAGTACAAATAGTCATTCACAGAAGTACAAATAGTCATTCACAGAAGTACTAACAATATGTGATGCAGACAGTGTATGCATGATTAAAACTTTCACAGATAATTGAATCAATTATTATTAGTAATAGAAATGAAATGATTGTGTTCACGGACAAATCAACGTGTGAAGGGAATTAAAATGTTAAAGTATTATCTTCATGTAAGTTTTGTAGGAAAAACTTGAAAAATTATTGTGAAAATGTGAAACTAGCAAAATGGATAACAAAATACAAAACCATTAACTTACCTATAATTCAAAACATTAACTTTGGCACACAAAATCATTTCAAAGAAAACCACTGTACCTGTACATAATAATCTAAATAAAAATTGATTTGTTATTCATACTATAACAAATGATGATTTTCATCAGTTTTTTAACTGACTGCAGCGACGAATTTGGAATCAGGTATGGACATTGTAGGATATAGTATTTTATATCTGTGTTTATGTTTGTTTAGAGTTATCTCCAATTTAAAGACATTTTACCAGTGCTCAAATGTTTTAAACTTTCATTCAAACATTGACAGAAAAAAAAACCTCATTACTTCTCAGTTGGATTATATATGTTTCATTTTATGTGTAGGAATTCCAGGAAAGATAATTCAGCTTCTTATTTGTAGACTTTTATACCCCCGCTTTAAAAAAGGGGGGTATACTGTTTTACCTCTGTTTGTCCATCTGTCCGTCCGTCCATCCATCTGTTCGTCCGTCCCATGAATATTTTTCGTCGCATTTTTTCAGGAACTACATCATAAGGATTTCTGAAATTTGGTTTCAGGGTTTATATAAGTTAGCTATACCGTTTGATACGTTTTCAGATTCATCACTCAACAACAAATACATATTTGGGCTGGGGGTATCATCAGTGAGCAGTAGCTCACAGTTTCACTGGCCGTCTGATGGACATCAACTTTCTAACGTAAAACTTAAATACTTTCTGACATGTTTTATACCTTTAATATACTCAAAGTTTTGAAAGTCTGTTGACAGATGCGATCTAATTTGAATTCAACCTATGATTTTACCAAACATGCCTTGAAAAATTTAAATGGGGACCCTGTCACATCTGTAACATGTCTACAGACCAATTAAGCCTGTAACATTAAGTTATACACAAGGTCATCAAAACCTTTGAAAGATTGATATTTTTACACTAAATAGATTAGTTTTGAATGTAGATTAAAAAAATTACTTATTTAAAGGTTTTTACTGATTCTATGTATTGCAAGTATGAATTCTTGTGTCAAAATGGTGCAAAATTCATTGTCAAAAAGACCGTGAACATGATAAACATGAGATGATTGCAAAGTCACCAACCACATTGTTAACACTTTGTTAAATATTACTTCAAACATTTATGGCATTCAAATTACAAATGAATTTAATTGTGCATACAGAAATACATTGAAAGAATTCATGATGAAGTGTCCAGTTCAAATGTATGATAAAAAGAAAAATGACAGCCCATTCCTAATCTTGCAGTTATGGAGCTAGTGGCTTAAACAATGCTTAAGATAAATCTATCTTAACATAAGACTTAACCAGGGGAGATAACTCTTAATGTTTGTGCTACACTAATAGAAAAACTAGCCACTTTCCATCAATAAATATAAAACTATCAACTAGGGTTTTATTTATCACAGTATTTTATCAATTTGTTTAATGTAGCCTCAGACAGGTTGCACTTTCACTTGACAAAACGTAGTGTCAGTATTATATATCTTGTTTGCTGTTTAATATATATAGTAGCCTCATGGGTAGTTTGTCGAGCAAGTATATATGAATGAATGAATGGTTTATTATAGTGCAACCTGCATATATACAATAGATACATATTAGTACAATATTACATTACAGCCAGCCAGATAGGCTTACGATGCACTGACAAATTAAAACTCAAATTTTTGAAAAAATAGATAACAATTAGTTTTGGACGAATGTCTAAGTTATAAGAAAATACAACAGTTAACGTAAAATAGTTAGAGAATTTCTCTTCGGATACGATCACAGTCCAAGATAAAGATTGCTATACATTTGTTGTTGTTAGATAACAGTTCATTCAAGGCAGCATTTTGAGAAAGTTCCTTTATGCGTATATATAACTATGTATTATTTAGTTAATGCACACAATCTTCAATGTTTTATTGATAGAAAATGATGTTTCAATATTGTTTTGCTGCATTTCATAATAATGCTCTTACAAACTGAGAAAAATTGTCAATCATATTAACTATTGAGGCAAGCATTAGGAAAACTTTTGCCTTAGGACATAACAGTGTCTACTTAAATCCAAAAGATTAAAAAGTTGAATTATATATATCTATAAGTCATTGTATGGTCTTCTACAATAACCCATATCTTAGGGCTGTTTCAGAATTAAAAGCATTGAGGGGCATGAGAGGCCCCTTTTTAAAGACCCTAATCACTCATAATATAAAAATTGTATATAATTCTAAGGCAAATGCAACCTCCCACAATTGAGTGCTTTCCATCCCCCTTCCACAATCAATTTTTTAACAGTCCTTATGAAATGCAATAAAAGACCTCCAGTACAAAAAATAGAATCAGTTATTTGTTCTTTAGTGTATAATCATATCATTTCTAGATATTGGTGTTCACAGTATCATAAGCATGTTAAGCATTTCTTAGTATGAGTATTAACTAACAGTACAGTATGATTAAATAGTGAATGAAAATACTTTGTCCACATATTACAAGCATGTTATAAATGATATTGTTCACTATAGAAGCATGTTAAGCATCAGGCATATAACTAAAGTTACACTATGATTGGCTTTACAGTGGCAGAATATGGTAAGACATGCAGTGTTATAGCTTGTATAGCATGTAGCTTGCTTTAATTACTGGAGTATTGTGTACATTTGATGAACACTTTTTATGTGTAAACTTTGATTCCTTGTTTATAAATAGGACATTAGGATTTTTCTTTGACTTTGGCTTTTGCTAATTATCTTGAGTTGATCTCTATTGGTCCTTCTGACTACTTGGACACTTTTTTAGCTCACCTGGGCAAAACAATGAGCTTTTCTCATCACTTGGCGTCCGTCGTCCATCGTCTGTCATCTGTCGTCCGTTAACTTTTACTAAAATCTTCTCCTCTGAAACTACTGGGCCAAATTTAACCAAACTTGGCCACAATCATCAATAGGGTATCTAGTTTTAAAAATGTGTCCAATGACTCCACCTGCCAATCAAGATGGCAGACATGGCTAAAAATAGAACATCTGGGTAAAATGCAGTTTTTGGCTTATATCTCTGAAACTAAAGCATTTAGAGCAAATCTGACATGGGGGTAAAAATGTCCATCAAGTTAAGATCTATCTGCCCTTGAATTTTCAGACAAATCAGACAACCCGTTGTTGGGTTGCTGCCCCTGAATTGGTAATTTTAAGGAAATTTTGCAGTTTTTGGTTATTATCTTGAATATTATTATAGATAAAGATAAACTGTAAACAGCAATAATGTTCAGTAAAATCTACAAATAAGTCAACATGACCAAAATTGTCAATTGATCCCTTAAGGAGTTATTGCCCTTTATAGTCAATTTTTAACAATTTTTTGTAAATTTTTGTAATCTTTTACAAAATCTTCTACTCTGAAACAACTGAGACAAATTTAACCAAATTTGGCCACAATCATCATTAGGGTATATAGTTTGAAAAATTTGTCTGATGACCCCGCCTGCCAACCAACATGGCCAACATGGCTAAAACTAGAACATAGGGGTAAAATGCAGTTTTTGGCTTATATCTCTGAAACTAAAGCATTTAGAGCAAATCTGACATGGGTTAAAATGTTCTGTCTGCTCTGAAATTTTCCGACGAATTAGACAACCCATTGTTGGGTTGCTGCCCCTGAATCTTTATAGTCAATTTTTAGTCATTTTTTTTTATAAATTTTTGTAATCTTTTACAAAAATCTTCTTCGCTTAATCTACTGGGCCAAATAGAATTAAACTTAGCCACAATTTTCAATAGGGTATCTTGACTTAAAAATGTATCCGATGACCCTGCCATCCAACCAACATGGCCGCCATGGCTAAAATTAGAACATAGGGGTTAACTATAGAAGTCTAAGGGAAAATTGTAAAAAAATAATTTCAAATGGTCACAACTTGAAAACTAATTTAAATAATGATAAGGGATCTTCAGTAACTATTGTAAGACTACAATGGGATGACCTGCTTTTAATTTAACTACTGGGCCAAATTAAACCAAACTTGGCCTCAACCATTATTAGGATATCTTATACTATTTATTATGATTTTAACCTTATTTTACATGATTTCCAAAATACAGGTGAGCGACACAGGCTCTTGAGAGCCTCTAGTTTTTGGTTTTAAAGATCAGTCAAGAAGGCAATAAGTTTATATTTTTGAATACATTATGAATGCCATCATTTCTTTAAATCTTATATTAAACTAATTTTTTGCATCTTGCTTTTAACTTACTTTTTATGTTTTCATTCTGCACCTTATCAAAATTTACAAAGTCATGTATGTATCCTTGATTAAAATTTGGATAGTTATACTGTTTTACTTAACGTTATTGACCTAGAGTACACATCTTTCATCAAAACTACACAATTACATCTCGTAAAGTAATTTGCTATGAATGCAGTATTTTCTGACATTTATCTATGGTGTATGTTCTTTAGTTCTTAAAAATAATACAGTCAAACTTCACTAGCTCTTAACTCAATTACTCGTCAAAAACAGCTTTTATATCTCATTGATACATACGCTGTAACTACATTAAAATAAATAATTAATTACTTGTACACTTTGGTGTTTTAGCTACTGAGGTTTGACTGTATTGATAGAGTTTACTGTTATTTGTTTTATAATTTGTGCATGTTTTGGTCAGGAATATGGTGATAAAAAAAAAAAATGTTATATTGTTCAGGACACAACACTTTAGTAAAGGATTGAGATTTCTAAGAATTTCAATAAGTTGTAGTATGGGTTTACTGAAAAGGAAACTATGACTAAAATCAACATGAATATCATTTATGGAGATTGAAATGAGTACAGTGATAGAGATGAGTCAATGAAACACGCAGATGAGATCCCACTGTCTCCTGTCCTCTTTTGATAATGAGTAAAGCTATACCGTTCTTTGCATATATATGTATAGCAATATTGTTGTGTTGTAGTGACTTATCTTAATTAACTTTTTACTCTGACACTAAATATCTTAGCTGCATGGTAACAGAAAATTTTCTGAAACTATAGGTCTTGGATAATAAGGTAATAATCTTTGCTTTTTTTTTTTTTTTTCATCTGCTTATAGGTTTAGATTTCATAAGTAAAATTCACATTGGATAGATTACAACTTGAACTGTAAAACAATAAATTCACTGCACTTTTGGAATTTGACAAAAAGATTGTTTAGGTATTTAATAAGAAAATTATTGAAATTATTTAAACTGTATATTTTATTTCTTTTCAATCAATCAAATGTATAAGAATGCCATCAAAATGAAAGCAAAACGATCTAAGAGTACTCACAGTTACTGAAAGCTAGTTCAAAGCCAAATTTCAGCTAATAACCATGTTTTCCCAGAACTAAATAATTTTTTTTTTGGTTAAATTTTGTTATAAAGTTCTGTCTCATTGATATTTACCCTGCATCTTCAAATCCTGCAATTACTTGTACATGAGGACAGGCTTATTGTTCATACATTGTTTTCACTCTAACAGAAGAATATAGATTTATCCTGTTGAGTTGTTACCTCCTTTAAATGTACTTTGGTCCAGTTATTAGAAATATATCATTGTTAAACTCTTTTACTTATTGATTGAACAACTGTCAGTTTCTAAGAAGATGTGTGATTATAGGTTTTTACCAGAAAAGTCAGAATTGTGACAGACATCTTGTTTGTTAGAATGTCATCTCTGAAAAGTTTATTGAGATCTATTCAATAATACCATTTGCTCTGGCTCTTTCTGTTATTCAGTGTTAAATAAGTTACTTATTCGATAATCTTTGATCTTGTTGAAAAAATATATTGTGTTATTTTAAATTATTTCTAAAAGATTAGAGAAAGCATAAAAGATATGTTGAAGAATCATTTGATTCCATAACTAATTGATGCACAGTTATGATAAATAGGTAGGTTATTCTGGACTAAATGAGGGAAAAAATAGTTTGTCAGTTTTATTATATTATTACTTTTTCATTGTAGTCTTTGGGCACTTTTTTTATTTATTAACCCAATAGTCTTTATATTTTGTGTGTTCTTTACTACATATTAAGTAATTATTATCAAAATATAAACCAAGCTAAGTATTCTATATCATATTATATAAATTGACTCTGGCTATAACTATAACAAAATTTATTTTCATTTAACTCTTATCAAAATTTGTGACAAGTGAACCAACACCTTCTAACGGAAAAGCTGGTAGAGTAACCAAGATGGATACCGAAGTATGCTGCGGTTGTCTTAAAACCTCATGGAAATATAATATGTAGAGACATATTATATTCTTATCAAAATTTATAGAAATTTAAAAAGCATTGTAAAAAGCTTGTAGTATCATTAGCTTCTTTATTTTTCTTAAAAAAATATATAACAATAAATTTATTTCATGAATATTAAGAATAATTAGTTCTTAAAAACAAATATCAATTTGTGACAGTGCTGCATTTTTAATTATTAAAAAAATACAATTAATTTTTCTACATATACCTTTTTATAATAATTAGGATACCTCACTTCAGATTTAGTAGTTTATTATTTCACATTTTCTGTCAACTAAACAAGAGATCAAATTGTTTGATATTTTGACCAGTTCTTTGTAATAGTGGTGCTATATGTTTATTGTCTACTCATATAAAACAAATACTTGATTTTCTCACATTTCCTTTTTTTTTTTATTACAGGAGAAATGAACAGTTAGATGAAAAATCTTTGATTAAGAAGTTAAAGAAAAAAGTAGCTGAATTAGAAACAGAATTATCATGTCTGAAACTTGCCAAGGTAATCACTGATCACATGAGAAATGGTGGCTTTAACACAGAAATTTTGTTGACATTAATTTTTCACTGGTGCAATTTACAGAAAACTTAAGCACTTATAAAAAAATATTACTTGTGACAACTGCTTGTAACAGAAAAATTAGATAAGATATTCTTTCAATGGTAGAGTTTAAAGCTTAAATTTCTTCTTTTTTTTTAAAGAATGAAAAAAATTGCCATACTTAAAATGTTTGAAAATACCTGCTAGAATGGGAGATAACTCATGTAAAGTTCATCTGAAGAAACCTAATAAGTTTAAATCAATTCTGTTTTTCACATACAGCTGATGACGTGATGATGATACAGAGCTGATCTTAAGTTGTAGTATTACAAAATATATCATTATATAGTATAAGGTTTTATATTTTTACCAAAATTGAGTATTTCAACCTAGGTTATTGTGGATTCATTTATTTTCGTGGGTACTAATTTTTTTTGAATGAATGTTATTTTTAGTGGATATTTGATTTCGTGGTTATGCCAAAGTGCATACAAGTCTATAGAAAATTTATTCTGTGTTGAACATTTTAAATTCATGGTTTACCTATACCCACAAAATCAATAAAAAATTATGTTCTACGAATTAAAGTGAATCCACAGTTTTAATTATACCCCGCTTTAAAAAAGTGGGGGTATACTGTTTTACCTCTGTCTGTCCTTCCCTCAGTCATCCATCCATCCATCCATCCATCCGTCAGTCAGTCAGTCAGTCCGTCCCATGAATATTTTCTTCGCATTTTTCTCAGGAACTACTTGACAAGGATTTCTGAAATTTGGTTTCAGGGTTTATATAAGTAAATTACACCATGTGATGTGTTTTCAGATTCATCACTCAACAACTTCCTGTTAACCTAACACTTGTATTATTTTACACATGATAGCCAAGTTGTAAATTTTCGTCACATTTTTCTCAGGAACTACTTGACAAGGATTTCTGAAATTTGGTTTCAGGGTTTATATAAGTCAGCTATACTGTGTGATGTGTTTTCAGATTCATCACTCAACAACTTCCTGTGTTACTCAACAACTTCCTGTTTACCAAAATATTTCGGCAGGGGTATCATCAGTGAGCAGTAGCTCACAGTTTTACTTGTTATTTCCAGATTTGCAGTAAGTAATAGATGATAATTATTTTGTTATTTAAGGAGGTTGGTAATGCTGCTTTAGATAGTATGAATACAAAGTTAACAGACGAAGATAAAATCATGTGTGCTGAAATCATACAAGGTTATCTGGGAGGAAAAGTGCCTGACCCTATCACAGCAGGTATGTTACACACATCTCCTTCACTCAGCAGGTTTATATAAAGTTAAGATGTGGTATGATTGCCAATGATACAACTCTCCACCAGAGTGCAAACAAGCAATTATAGGTTACTGTACAGCCTTCAACAGTAAGAAAACCCCATACCATATAGTCAGCCCCAACATGAAAAATGTGAAACAATTAAAACAAGAAAACCAATGGCCTAATATTCACAAACAAAAAACCCATAGCTGTAAAAATATAAGGGCATACACTACAAGAACGGAACACATTCTGCTCCATCCCCACAGTAGGAGCAACAAACCCAGCAATCAATATAACATTAAGGAGATGTGTAGGATTGCCAATGAGACAATTATGTAGAGATATCCCCATAATTATATAAAGTTATCAGGGTAGAGGAGTGACAAGCTTACACGAGGGAGAACAGTGTCGTGTGCCAATCATCTCCAAACCTATTTGAGTTTGGGGTTTATATAGTGGTGAACTATTTAAGAACATTTCTTATTTGTGTGCATGTGGGAAGCTATATGTCAGAAACTTATTGATTATAAATGTTTAACTTTCAGATATTGCAATGAAATTTTATACAACCATAAATGATGGACATACTATGGTAGATGTTTGGTTGTCCATCCCTCTTGCTAAGCATGTCTTACAAAAACTCTATTTTTTCGATGCCAGGTCACAATTGATATACTATTGAATACTAGCTAGCTGTCCATCTGTTCAAAAATGTCTTCAATAAGATAAGCTTTACAATGTTAGTACACAATATCAAGTTGTATGAAAGCAAGCTATCTTTCAATTTTCAACGCCTTTTTTGATATGCCATTACAGAGTTCTTTTTTTTTCTATTCTATTTATATTATGCACAGAATTGATCTGGGGTTACTTTGGCAAGAATAGAAATACACAACTGCATGATATTTATAACTATCTACTAGTTTAAATATTTCATGAATTTATATACTATAAAAAGAAGAAGAAGTGGTATGATTGCTAATGAGACAACGCTACACCAATGTTTGTTTGAAAATTTCAGATTTAATATTTGGTAAATTGAAAATATTGAAACAATATTTGTTTGTCTTAAATTTGCAGGAATCACAAATCCACAAAAGTTCAGAGAATGTATGAAGTTACTTAGGGGTATGATAAGAGAAGGACAAAACTTAAATGAAGAATTTTCTAACAACAACAAAAGTATTGAATATAACAAAAATGATCAAAATTGGAGATCAACTGACAATCATTTAAACAAGAAAAATATTCGGATTATAACACATAACCAATCACAGACAAGGAGGAGAGCTTTTGAAGAGAAGAAAGTCCTGACATCTAATGAAGATCCAGAAGTGGATGTGTTGAAAGTCCATCCTGATACACGTATACAGCAAAATCAAGCCCAGTAAGATATTTAGTTGATAAAATATACAACTATTTATTAATTCAATTGTTATTTTTATGGCCCTGCCAACTTTGGTCAGGCCATAAAGTTCCTGCCATTGTGTCATTCCGTCATTCCACACCGACCAGTTATACAGACTTTTTTTTTCTAAATGCCTTTACATATTGAGCTGATTTTTAGTATGTGAGTCTATTATGATGAGTTACAGATCAAGTTTACGTTTGTTTTTGCTCCGCTGATTTTGCCGAAATTACAGGCTTTGGACTTCATGAAAATAACAGTTGTACAGACTTTTTTTCTAAACGCCTTCACATATTGAGCTGATTTTTAGTATGTGAGTCTGCTATGATGAGTTATAGATCAAGTTTAGGTTTGGTTCTGCTCCGCTGATTTTTGCCGAAATTACTGGCTTTGGTCTCAAAGTTTCCACTTTTTTTGCAAGTGGGGCCATTCGTATTGTTCTGACCCATCTAGTTTTTGTCGAGCCTGCAACTTTTGTGATCCAGGGGCAGCGGCGTTAGCTAACTTCTTAAAAGCTTTATATTTTAGAAGGTAGAAGACCTGGATGCTTCATACTTTGTATATAGATGCCTCATGTTACGAAATTTCCGTCAGTCACATGTCCAATGTACTTGACCTCATTTTCATGGTTCAGTGACTACTTGAAAAAAAAGTTAATATTTTTTGTAATATTACATTCTCTCTTATTAGAAGTAATAGGATAACTATATTTGGTATGTGCGTACCTTGCAAGGTCCTCATGCCTGTCAGACAGTTTTCACTTGACCTCGACCTCATTTCATGGATCAGTGAACAAGGTTAAGTTTTGGTGGTCAAGTCCATATCTCAGATACTATAAGCAATAGCTCTAGTATATTTGGTGTATGGAAGGACTGTAAGGTGTACATGTCCAACTGGTAGGGTTCATCTGACCTTGACCACATTTTCATGGTTCAGTGGTAGTAGTTAAGTTTTTGTGTTTTGATCTGTTTTTCTTATAATGTATGCAATAGGTCTACTATATTTGGTGTATGGAATAATTGTAAGGTGTACATGTCTAGCTGGCAGGTGTCATCTGACCTTGACCTCATTTTCATGGTTCAGTGGTCAAAGTTAAGTTTTTGAGTTTTGGTCTTTTTTTGTCGAGCCTTCGACTTTTGTCGAAAAAGCGAGACATAGCGATCCTTCATTCCGTCGGCGTCGTCGTTGTCGTCGGCGGCGTCCACAAATATTCACTCTGTGGTTAAAGTTTTTGAAATTTTAATAACTTTCTTAAACTATTCTGGATTTCTACCAAACTTAGACAGAAGCTTGTTTATGATCATAAGATAATATTCAAAAGTAAATTTTGTAAAAAAAAAAATCCATTTTTTCCGTATTTTACTTATAAATGGACTTAGTTTTTCTGCCAGGAAACATTACATTCACTCTGTGGTTAAAGTTTTTGAAATTTTAATAACTTTCTTAAACTATCCTGGATTTCTACCAAACTTTGAAAGAAGCTGGTTTATGATCATAAGACAGTATCCAGAAGTAAATTTTGTAAAAAAAAAATTTCATTTTTTCCGTATTTTACTTATAAATGGACTTAGTTTTTCTGCCAGGAAACATTACATTCACTCTGTGGTTAAAGTTTTTGAAATTTTAATAACTTTCTTAAACTATCCTGGATTTCTACCAAACTTGGAAAGAAGCTTGTTTATGATCATAAGATAGTATCCAGAAGGCAATTTTGTATAATAAAAATTCTATTTTTTCCGTATTTTACTTATAAATGGACTTAGTTTTTCTGCCAGTTAACATTACATTCACTCTGTGGTTAAAGTTTTTAAAATTTTAACAACTTTCTTAAACTATCCTGGATTTGTACCAAACTTGGACAGAAGCTTGTTTATGATTAAAAGCTAGTATCTACATGGAAATTTTGTTCCATTTTTTCCGTATTTTACTTATAAATGGACTTAGTTTTTCTTCCAGTTAACATTACATACAGTCTGCAGTGTAAGTTTTTAAAACATTTATTAGATTCATAAACTATCCTGGATTTTTATCAAACTTGGACAGAAGCTACTTACAATCAAAAGATAGTATAGAGAGGAATATTTTTATTAATTTTTTTCCTCATTTTTGTTGAGCCTGCGATTAACAGCAAAAGTAGGCGAGACACTGGGTTCCGCGGAACCCTTACGAATTTTTCTAATACTATATGCAATAGGTCAACTATATTTGGTGTATGGAAATATTTTATGATCTATATGTCAGTCGTGCAGGTTTTATTTGACCTTGACCTCATTTTCACGGTTCATTGCTCAGTGTTAATTTTTTGTGTTTTGGTCTGTTTATCATTAACTATAAGCAATAGGTCAACTATATTTGTTGTATGGAAGAATTGTTAGCTGTACATGTCTGTCTGGCATGGTTCATCCGACCTTGACCTCATTTGCATGGTTCATCGGTCAATGTTTAGTTTTCTTGGTTAATGTTAAGTTTATGTGACAGTTGTAATAAAGCTTTATATTTAGGACTATCAACATAATATCGATGATAAGTAAAGAAGGCAAGACATTTCAGTGTGTGCACTCTTGTTGTATATTTTATATAATTCTGTTGCTACTTACTATATACTTATGTCTGGTGTCTTTTACCTTACTTTCATGATGCAGCAACTGCTTATAAAACTATATAGTTTTTTATCATGTAATTTTTTGCTTGAGCTTATATGCAGACTATGGCAAAACCAAAAAAACCAGTATCCACGAAAATACAATTTTTTCTGAAATTACGAAAATTGGTACCCACCAAAATAAACAAATCCACAGTATAAGCTAAATGGTTGTTTTGTTTAAATATGTACGGACTAAACAGAATAAAAATATGTAAATTTTAATTTTTTTACCCAACAGACATATGCAGTAACATCCACTTCTATGTAATTGTTGCTGTCAATCATTTAAGGATTAAGTATCCAAGATAGCAGGTAATAAATACAAAATTAACAGTAGTTATAATTTAATTATTGAATTTAATTATAGTAAAGAAGTAGAGATCCCTATAACAAATGCTTGGACTGCTGACACCAGAGAAGCAGCCAAACAACCTGTCCGGAGGAAACCAAGACAACCTGTCAGGGAATCAACATTATCTGATGAGGAAAATAGAGAAGGTAAAAAAATGGTTTATACAATGACTGTGATGTATGAGAATGATATGTCAATCTTTAAAAAAGTGATCATTATTATCAAAGAGATTGTAGCATTGAGAAAAATGCATATAAGATAGATTGAATTTTCCCAGTTTTAAACTAAGCTGTTCAATGTGCTTCTAACCTGTGAAATGTAGTTGTAAGAATTGAAAGCATCTTTTTACATTCTTGTAGAGTTGTATTTTTAGCCTGGGATCCTGGCTCACTGCTTAACAGTAGAGCCAAGTGGAATACAATGACATATATTCGTGTATTGTCTGTTGCATTGTTGGATAGCATCATTTCTTGACATATGGCTGGAAAAATTTATTTAGCCATGAATTTGTTGAAAAATATTTAACAATTTATGCAAAATGCATTTTTTAATAAAAATATAGCAACAATAATCCAAACCTTACTGATATAAACTGTGAATCAACAGTTAATTTATGATCCATTGATAAATCCCTTGTTTATATAACCTGCACATGCACAGTAATTCAGTCCTGTACAGTGCTGAAAAGTGGTCACATGGATTGTATTACACCTGGCCTTGCTGATGCAAAGAGGAGGTTAGGCCAGGATGCCAGGCTATTGTATTTTCAGTTTGAAACATGAAAATGTGTTTTTGAGCTGTTTGGGATTGTTAATTAAATACATTGAGGGGTGTCTATTGGCTGTGTGGGATGCACAAATACAATCATCTGTATACAAGATGTATTAATACATAGCCATGTCCTTATAGGGACAATGATTCCAAGATACATACTTAATTTAAACAGAACTTATTGTATACATGGTTGAAGCTATGGCTAGGCTGTAAAACCTGGTTCAACTGACCACTTTCCTTCCAAAGTGTCTGTACTTAGTCATGACAACCACTTTCCTTCCAAAGTGCCTGTACTTAGTCATGACATCCACTTTCCTTCCAAAGTGCCTGTACTTAGTCTAGACAACCACTTTCCTTCCAAAATGCCTGTACTTAGTCATGACAACCACTTTCCTTCCAAAGTGCCTGTACTTAGTCATGACATCCACTTTCCTTCCAAAGTGCCTGTACTTAGTCTAGACAACCACTTTCCTTCCAAAATGCCTGTACTTAGTCATGACAACCACTTTCCTTCCAAAGTGCCTGTACTTAGTCATGACAACCACTTTCCTTCCAAAGTGCCTGTACTTAGTCATGACAACCACTTTCCTTCCAAAGTGCCTGTACTTCGTCTAGACAACCACTTTCCTTCCAAAATGCCTGTACTTAGTCAAGACATCCACTTTCCTTCCAAAGTGCCTGTACTTAGTCAAGACAACCACTTTCCTTCCAAAGTGCCTGTACTTAGTCAAGACATCCACTTTCCTTCCAAAGTGCCTGTACTTAGTCAAGACATCCACTTTCCTTCCAAAGTGCCTGTACTTAGTCATGACAACCACTTTCCTTCCAAAGTGCCTGTACTTAGTCATGACATCCACTTTCCTTCCAAATTGCCTGTATTTAGTCATGACAACCACTTTCCTTCCAGATTGCCTGTACTTAGTCATGACAACCACTTTCCTTCCAAAGTGCCTGTACTTAGTCATGACAACCACTTTCCTTCCAAAGTGCCTGTACTTAGTCATGACAACCACTTTCCTTCCAAAGTGCCTGTACTAAGTCATGACATCCACTTTCCTTCCAAAGTGCCTGTACTTCGTCTAGACATCCACTTTCCTTCCAAAGTTCCTGTACTTCGTCATGACATCCACTTTCCTTCCAAAGTGCCTGTACTTAGTCAAGACAACCACTTTCCTTCCAAAGTGCCTGTACATAGTCTAGACAACCACTTTCCTTCCAAAGTGCCTGTACTTAGTCATGACATCCACTTTCCTTCCTAAGTGCCTGTACTTAGCTAGACATCCACTTTCCTTCCAAAGTGCCTGTACTTAGTCTAGACAATGACAATTAATCCCCAATTGTTCCAATGAGGATTGTGTTAAAAGATTTTCCAAAAAACTAGCCAGTACATTTGGACATAGGTTGTCAGTCAGAGCTATAATGATTGGTAATCAATTATTAGATGAATAAATATTAGATTCAGCCTTTTTATAATGTAAACAGGGTTCGACATTAACTTTTATACCAACTTGTCCAGTTGGGCAAGCGCCCTATTTCTTTTACTTGTCCAAAAGTGAAATCTACATGCCCAAAACTCCTTTTTCCAAGACTCAATGAACACTCGTGGCATCCTTTTTTGTTCATATTTAGCTTTTGACTAGGACTGGGAGTCAGATTTCCTTTTTAAAGGAATTCCACTGAAAAAACTTGCCAGGGTTGATTGTTGTGCCATGATGGCTGCAACTAGACTTGACCACTGAGATACTATGAGGCATATATGAGCCGAGGAGGGAGGGAAAAGATCGACAAATATACGGGAATTGGATCATTTACATAGAGATACTTATTTCATAATGATTTATCTAAGAAATGCCATTTCAAAAAACCCTTCTTGATAAACTAACAACAACTGACAAATTTGTTAAAGTTTAATTTCATTTTCTCTTTCAAGCTTTTACGTTTTTCCATCTTAGGGAAATACACATCCGATTTCAAATTCTAAAGTTAGAACAATGAAAATAGACCTCCGCTTTCCATTGGTCGGTGGGAATAACACGTGCGTCGGAAACGATCAAGTGGTGTCCCGATTGATAACGATAATGACGAAGCAACGCCGCGGCCGCCAGATTGGCCAATATTTTTGAATGTGATTTATTTTTGGTAAAATGAGGAATTCAGTGCGAACAAATGACGAAATATACGCATTGAAGGGGGGTTAAGACCACTTTACTCGACTGTGCTGTGTTATCACTGAGTAATCTATTGACAAAACAGACACTATTGATTTTGTGAAATTTTAATCATATAACACTTTTTTTTTCACTTGCCCGATTGGACAACCAAGATGATGTTTTTACTTGTCCGAATACGGCATTTACTTGCCCTGGGCAATCGGACAACCGTAAGTGTTGGACCCTGGTAAACTACTTTTTTTTCCACTTAAATATGAAGTCAAATACAGCCTTTTGAATAAATCTTAATATTCCAGATTGCTGATTGCATCTGCCTTGTGTAAAATATGAATTATAAATAAAATGTACATTATATATTTCTGTTAGCAGAAAACAAACCACAAGATCCAGTCAGTCGTTTGACTTCACTACTGGAGGCCCATAAAAGGAGGAGTAGAAAATATCAATCACCATTTGAAAAGAAACGAGTGAAGGAGATAAAAACTTTAAATTCTAAAGTACATCAAATGCAACAGGAGAAGTTAGAGAAAGAGGAAGAAATCATTGAAATGAAACTAAGTCTGGCTACTCAGGAATTAGATATTATGGAACAGGAGATCAAGTATGTTATTCTGTATAATTATTTGAAATAGGGAGTCAATTAAATGCCTTTTTGTGTATATATAACATTGTACATAGAAGAATTTTAATTGAAACACTGAATTTGTACACAGGCAGGATAATACTAAATGTAAATGTGAAACCAAACCCTTCACAATTTGAGTACCTTTCAGCAACTACTAGTACATTCTGGTCAGAACTTTGTTATATCCTTAGATAAGCACCATTTCAATTAAATTTGACACTTTGAATCAATGATTTGCTGTAACACCAATCACCCAGTGTAGGAAAAGACTTTTTTACTCAAAAGCATGTTTAACCAAACCTTGTTTTGTGTATTATAGTCTAGTTACCAGATTATGCTTTCAATTTAGAATTTGATATAGATATGTGATGGGGAAATAACCAAGTTAAATAAAACATTACAAAAATACATTTTGTCTATAGTCTAAGGGAAGCAACTCCACATATTTTTAGATATAATCTTTGTTTATTCAGAACAAATTTAGACGTAACAAAAGACCAAGTATCAGATCAGCATGCCTATGTACAACAACTCAGATCCACTGAGGCAGATCCAAATCTGGTTGAACAGGAAAAACTTGTGGAAAAACAACTCAGGAAAAGACAGGTATGTTACAATGGACAGTTAATTGTACAGTTTGTCCAGTTTAGAGTAGGATGATTAAAGGTTTGGTTTATTTTTTAAAAAAATTCAATATTTGACAGCCATGGTCCAAAAACTTGAATAGAATATAATGTACCAATAAATTATAGTCATCGGGTATTAAAATACAGATAAATATTTGTTTACATAGGCAGTTTTAAAGCCTTATTTTTTTATTACAGGCCAAGTTTGATAAAAAGTTGGAATTTATAGATGAAAAACGACAGCAATTAAATGAACAATCAGAACATATTATGGCTGAGATTAGTAGTGCTAAACCAACTATTGTGGATAAGTTTGGAAAATTCCGTAAACATGATGGAACATTAAATACCAGACAGGTCTACGATTTGTTGAGAAATGAGGAGAAGAAACATGAAAAGGTAAATCATAAACAGATGTAAGCAAAACTTTACTCACATTTTAATTCCTGAAAATGTGTGTAAAGATATACACAGAAAAAAAGTCTCAAAAGTCAAAAGCTAGTCAATATGTACTTTTACATACAACTTAGTCAGATTACAAATTCAAGAAAGTCTCTTCCTGAAATTTCCTTCAATGGTAAAGGGTGTGTGATTATAGTTATACACCACTCTTACATTTTTATAGCCTCTGTCATTAATTCCACTGACTGGCATGACATTCTTCTGTACACAAGGTTCACAAAATGTTTTTAGAAATGTGACATTTTATTTTCATAATATTTTCTATTAAACAACAGAAACAGAATAGTTTAGAGGTAGCTTAATATACATATGAGACATTCTACAAAATCTGAATTGAAATTACTTATTGTAGAAAATGTCTTTTTAATATATGCAAATCACATACCTAAAAGATGAACCTTGTTTTCAGTATAAAACCTGTACATTATCTGTCTTAGATTAACTTTGTCTTCAGTATAGAACCTGTACATTATCTGTCTTAGATGAACCTTGTCTTCAGTATAGAACCTGTACATTATCTGTCTCAGATGAACCTTGTCCTCAGTAAAGAAACTGTACATTATCTGTCTTAGATGAACTTGTGTTGTTGGTTGGCTGTCTCATTGATACCCTTTTACTTATAACTAATATGATTATACAGTATAACTTGTTAAAATTTCAGATAAAATAATAATACCCTGAAGTTATTATTATATGAAAAGTAATAAATGGGATTCCAAATCATCAGACTTTTTTCATATATAAAATATTACAGATTACATGTTTTAGGAACTATTTTATTTAAATAGAGTATTAATACATAATACGTTTTGGAATGCTGGTCAGTAGTTACTTGGGGACACTCGCATGTCTAGGTTTTTAACCAATCAGCAATGGGGTTACCCAGTCACTGTCACATGTGCTTCTTGTTTACCAATTGTTTTTCGAGATCATACTAATTAACCAATGAGATTCATAGCTAATTTTGAATTAAATTTTCAGCACTTAATTAGTAAGGCTTTTGTTTTATGCACACTGGCTCAACTATTCCCGAAGCAACGCTTGCTTGCAGCAGCCATTATTTTTCTGGGACAAAACTGTCGCTATGCACACATTTGTGCTATCCAGGGGTGTGGTGCGGAACACCAAGCATTTGCTCATTCAAAAAACTGGGTATAATGGTAAAGCTGGGTATAATGGTAAAGCTGGGTATAATGGTAAAGCTGGGTATAATGGTAAAACTGGGTATAATGGTAAAACTGGGTATAATGGTAAAGCTGGGTATAATGGTAAAGCTGGGTATAATGGTAAAACTGGGTATAATGGTAAAACTGGGTATAATGGTAAAGCTGGGTATAATGGTAAAGCCAGTGCGTGACCTTGTTTATACTGTTTGGCAAGAGGAACTTAAAAATGATTCTGATAAAGAATTTCTTTTACAAGGCATAAAAAATGGGTTTGACATTGTTCAGGATATTAATTTGGCTCCACTTAACATTTCAGCTAAAAATCACCCTTCAGCACATATTTCAAGTCCTTTATACGATAAAGCTCATCAACAGATTTTAATTGAAATTGAAAATGAGAATTATGAGTTGGCAACGTCCACACCAAAAATTATCAGTCCTTTAGGTGTCATTTCAAAACCAGATGGGGGTGTAAGAACAATTCATGATTGCAGTAGACCCATAGGGTCAGCTGTTAATGATTTTGCAGGGGATATGGATAAGCAAAAATTTCAATCTGTTGATGATGCAGCAAAATTAGTGACAAAAAACTGTTTCATGTCCAAAGTTGATTTAAAATCTGCCTACAGATCTGTGGGTATCAGTCGCAGTAGTCAACAGGTAATAGGTTTACAGTGGACTTTCCCTGACAGTCAAACACATATTTTTATAGATAAAAAATTATCTTTTGGCTCTAAATTAGCACCTGGTATTTTCCATAGACTTTCACAGGCTATTCATCGCATGATGTCACGCAGAGGCTTTACCATTATAGCATACTTAGATGATTTTTTCATTTGCGAAAGCACTAAGCAGTGCTGCGCACATGGCCTTAGGGTTTTAATTTACTTGCTGCGCAAGTTAGGCTTTGCAATTAGTTGGTCCAAGGTCTTGGACCCATGCCAGAAATTAGTATTTTTAGGTGTGGAGATAGACTCCACAACATTTGAATTAAGATTACCTAGTACAAAACTAGAGCAGTTAAGGCAAGATTTGGCAGATTTTCAGCAGCGCAAGCATGTTTCTAAGAAACAACTGCAGTCCCTGGCGGGAAAACTAAACTGGGCTTCTTCAGTGGTTCGCGGCGGAAGAGTTTTTCTTCGAAGAATCATTGATGGCATTACGAAGCTTAAGCATGATTGGCACAAAATGCGCTTATGTGAGGATATTTTGCATGATATTCATTGGTGGTACAATTTCATGTCCACTTTTGGAAATCCTTCTTACTTAACACTGATCCTGTCACCTCAGTTTATACTGATGCTTGCAAAACAGGTGCAGGTGGAGTTTTTGGTACCGATTGGTTTTGTGTAAATTAGAAAGAGGATTTCCCATTTGCGCAAACTTTGCATATTAATGAGCAAGAAGCATTTGCAGTGGCTTTGGCGGCCAAGCGTTGGGCTAAATGTTGGCAAAATAAGCGTGTATATATTTATTGTGATAATTCATCAACTGTTGGTTGTATCAATAAGTGTACCTCTAAGAACAAACTTTTGATGTCATTTTTGCACGAATTGTTTTGGCTGTCTACTACTAACAATTTTCAACTTGTTGCAATTCATCTGCCAGGGAAGCAGAATGATATGGCTGATGCCGTTTCACGGTTGCATGAGTTAAAGCTATGTAAATTTTTTTTGAAAGAATGCTTACCAACTCCTTTGTTTGTGCATCACCTTGTTTCTCATATGTCCTGTCACTCCCTTCATTTTCTTTTATTTAGGCTCACAGGCACACTTTGATTCAGTGTTAATTTTCAGAAGTAACTTGTGCTGAATTCAGGATAATGAATTCTTGCAAAACTGTTCTTGTCATAGAATAAGTGTTAAATACCATCAGAAAATTTTGTTTATTCAAAAAGGGTACCATGCCTGTCTTTCTATAATCAGCATGTCATGCATGTATGTGTTATTACCAGGCTTCCAATTGCATGAACCTAATCTCCTTCTTTAACACAGGTTTGGATTATTTTGGAGTACCACAGTTTTTCAACTTGATTTTGCTTTCTTTGTAAATATGTTTATTGCTTTATTGATATGCAAAGAAAATATTAAACTGTGATTCTTTCTCCCAAACCTGTGTCTGTTTACTTTATTCCTTTATACATACTATAACCAGTTGGCATTTCTTGATCCCTTTACTGAACTCTGTTAAGTGTAAATCAGGTGCCTTATCTGCACTGTAACTCTTCAGCATTCGGTCAGGGCACCAAAGACATAGCAGACTGGTTATTGGTGCAACTGACATATATACAGCATAATAAGGGAGGATCTGGGTGGAACAGTGTTATGAATTAATTTGAAGGATTAAAGGTCACTTTCTTTGCATTTATACAATTTCATGACTGTCAGTTGTATACGCCCATCTTTAAAGACTGGAAGTATTATAGTATATCATTGTCTATCTGTATGTCTGTCTATCTGTCATCAACACTTTGGACAATAACTCCAAAACGCTTTCCCCAATTTTTTATAAAACTTTGGTGAATTGTTTATATCTGTTGACATAAGCTCCCTTTTGATTTTTATAAATTTTTAGATTTTATGTTTCCAAGTTGTGGGATTTTATTCATAAAAAATGGGAGATTTTCCAGTTTTCTGACTATAACGCCAAAATGCTTTGAGCAATTTTCATGAAACTTTGGTGAATTGTTTATATATATTGAAAAAAGTTCCCTGTCAATTTTTAAAAATTTCTGATGTTACGTTTTGGAGTATTGGGAATTTATTCATAAAAAAGGGGGGATTTTCCAGTTTTCCGACAATAACTCAAAAACGCTTAAAGCAGTTTTCATGAAACTTTGATGACTTGTTTATATTTATTGAAATAAGCTCCCTTTTGTTTTTTTATAAATTTCTGATATGACATTGCAGAGTTATTGAAATTTATTTGTTGAAAAATCATCCTTTTGTGTCAGTGGGTATCACTGTGTGTGCATGTCTTTTTTTTTGACGGGGGGGGGGTCTATTTGAGCAATGCTCACAGTATTTCTAGTTGATCATATAAATTCTTTTTATAGTCCTAGGTTAACTACAGCCTTTGAAGAGTAACAAACTAATTTAACTTTATTACTAATTACAGGCTCAGACAGATCTAGATAGAGAAAGGTATATGGTAATTAGTCGACAGTTAGAGATGAAAGAAGTAGCCACAAGACAAAAATTACAAGAATTTAAAGAAATGTTGCGCATGTCTAAATCTGCAGGATACCCTGATGGACTTGTATTACATAATGGTGATCGTAATATGAATACAGCTCCTGCTAAAGGCATGTTTATGCATCGTGAACCATCTCGGCATGCATCGCGACATGCATCAAAACCAGTTCAAATTGTAGAACATGATGAGGATGAGAATTATCCAAGGTCTGCACAGACAAGAGCATCTGATGACACTTTTGTAACAGCCAAAAGTGACTTTGATAGGGACGAGGATGAACGTGAAGAGTATCCTAAATCTGCTGTTACTAGAGTTTCTGGTGCTACATTTTTCACAGCCAAATCAAATTTTGATCGTCCTCCTTCAAGGGCCAGTCTGAGATCATTTCAAAGTAGCATTCCAGATTCAGATTTTTATGCCAAAAGAAAACAAGAAAAGGATCCAACTGTAAGATGGGAATCAGCATTTTCACGGCCGCCGTCATCTGCAGCGAGCAGACAGGCTTCTGTTGCTGACTTTCACAGCGAGTTAAAAAGAAATGCTGAAAAAGAGGTTCAGTTTTTATCTCCAGAATATATGACTGATGATTATAAGTCATCTTCTAGAAAATCTGAAAGAAGACGTGATATTAGTAGTGATAGGGAAAGTTTACAAAATGGTTTTGAGTCTGAACCAGAAGAAACAATGTTGCCAAGTAATTATGTGTATGGAATGAGTAGAGGAGATAAATTTGATGCAAGAAAAATGGGTCTTGCCTCAAATACCTTTGATTCTGCTTTAGCATCAATGTTGGACAAAAGTGAATCTAACGTTTATTATGATCATGAGGATTATAATGATTTTGCTAGAAATACTAATCCTAGCTTTTTTGGTGAAGTGCCAAGTCGTAAAAGTCGGGGTACATCACGACAGAGGTCAGAACAGATACAGGCAGCTTATGGTGTTAGACAGAGTAGGAGTAGAGACAGGCGAAGTGAGCAGAGTTCTAGAGATTCCTGGTTAAGACAGAGTAGTCTTAGTCAGGAGAGAAAGAGCACAAGTGGAGACAGAAAGACAAGGAGTAGAGACAGATGGAGGGATAAGTCAATGGACAGTGATTATAGCGATGCAGAACAGAAAAAGCCAGCCAAACCCAAAACTCCAAATATTAAGTTTAGAAACTGGGGACCAATGGCTAGAGTGAGTACAGTGAATTTCCTTAAAAAACAAGAAAGTTCAAAGTTGAAGAAGAAAGCTATTTTCTTTGTTAGGATAAAATAAATCGCTGATTGGTTTTGTAACACAAATAAAAGAAAATACAAAATTGATGATTCAGTCATCATTTTCTTAGAAGTTGTAAGATGTCTTATAGCAATTACAAGATTGCCACTTTGTCAACATCTTTTAGTTAAATCATGTATACTGAAATATTGTTTACTCTTGCATTATATTACTTTTTAATATATCAGTTCATACACATATGAAATTAAATTGAACTATTAATGAAGATGAGCAATGTTGTGTTATTCAGGACAGGAATAGTAAGTGTGTTATGAACAACAATGGCAGAAGAGACTATATGTACACAAAAAAAGAACATTCACGACAGGAACATAGCTATTTTTAAAAGACCATAAGAATACTTTTATTTTGAAAAATTCTGAAAACAGATTTTTATTGTTGTGTTTAAAATATACCCTAAGCATTAAAAATGTTACTTTACAATTTCACCAAAATTGTTGGAGGTAAAGCTAATTTTGACATATCATACAATTCCAGGAGACATCCATTTTAGACAGGTTGGCTTCTACATCCATTAAAACTCCAGAAAAGAAGACAAGAACACCATCAAAATCTAAAGAAGGTAAGCGCATCTAATCCACAGGGTTGTCCATGCTAAAAATATGTTGGCATTCTTGTGATTACATGGTTTATTAACTTTTTTAATCAAGATTGTCAATATCTGCAATTTTTCTATATTATGTATAGGCTTGATTATGAAACACAATCTCTTTTTCCTCTGAATCTGTCAAGTGATAACTATAAAGAAAATTAAAAAAATTCTTGCAATTGCCTTATCAAAATTTCCAGTAATCTCCCCTCTTCTAGATGGTGTGTATTTGAAAAAAACAAACTATATAAAATTTTCAGATATATTGATTATATTTTGTAATCACAAAAAATCTAGGTACAAAACTTTGAAAGCTTCACCATTTCTTAGCCTCTTACAAAATACAATTGCAAATATTTTAGAACATAATTGTTGATATCTCAATACACAGTTGCTTCTGTGTCTGTATGTCAGCTTCTTCTATTTTGTGTAACTCCATCACCTGGATATATGTTTTATTGTATAAACAGTTCATTATGTTGAAAAATGTATAATTTGCCTGTCAATAATTATTTTATTGTTCTAGAATATTTTGTTATAAGCTGCTAAGTCAGAATAATAAATCAGTACAAGGTAAATGTGTGTGTGTGTCAGGTCAATATATGTGTATGATTCGCAGTAGTAGCCTGAAGGTAGAGTCAACATTTGTTTAATTTATTTATTTTTAGTTTGATTTTTATGTTTCTGCAGTATTTTAGGACAATATAGATTGAGATTGTCAAGCTTTATTACGAGCACATAGTAAAAATAGAGTATTTGATATTTTGATAGAAGTTTTGTGTCACCGATTTTATATCTCCCGCCTACAACAGTAAAAGGGCATTATGTTTTCCTGTCTGTGTGTCTGTCTGTCCATCTATGTGTAGTAAGTCAATCCGTCTGTTATCCAGTTAAAGTTTTGGTTTAAGGTAGCTTGTGGTCACATCAACTTGAAACTTAGAGGGGGCATGGTATCCTATGGACACATGTTCTTGTTTTTTTTTGTTTTTTTTGCTTGTTAGAACTGCTGATGTGAATGTCATTCACTGGAAATTACTTTCTATCTTTATTACCACTGAATAATTTCAAAAGCAATCAAGCAACAGCTACAGAAAAATATATCTACTTTATACCAAGAATCGCCACAGTGGTATTGTGGTAATGTGCTAGCCGCGCATGTTGGTTGTCTTTGATACGATCGTTGGCTGGTCAAACCAAAGATTTAGACATTAATGTTTTCTGCCTCTCTGCCAAGGATGCAGAGTCTTCCTGTGGACTGTTACCTTATGAACTAGCACACAAAGGATTTAATTCTGGTAGTCAGTTTAGTACAAAGTAGTGTATGAACAGATTTTCGTCCTTAATATACTTGTAATACTTGATGCAGGACATAAAGCAGTCATCCATCAATCAGTCAGTCAACTGTTCAAAACCAAAATATGCATTATTAATTTATTCTGAATAACTGAAAAAATAGGAACATAATTTGTTTAAGAAATAATTCATGATAGCCATAGATTTGTTGGAAATTTTCACATGGCCTTGGCCGTTATAATCGAGTTTTATCCTGAACAATCGTGGGGAATAAAATTAATGAATATAATGGCCCAGGCCATGTGAAAATGATAACAAATCTATGGCTTGCATGAACTATTTGGATTCTAATTGGGCAAAATGGTAATTTAAAAAACTGAAGTGTAGGTAAGTGTGCTGTGAATTATTTCTTAAATAACCTTGTGAAAAAAGTGTTTAATCCTTATAGTTCTCAATCTAAATAATTTGTTTTTTGTTGGCTACTATTTTCTGTCCAATCCATAGTTGACATGTCGTATCTAAGGAATGAGCTGCCATGTGGACTTGCTGAAATCCATAAATGTGTAAATTATGCAATAGAAAAGAAAATGAAACAACACATACCTCAAAACTCCATTGTAATGCAATTTTATCAGAATTTGGACTGTAAAAGTAAAGATATAACCTTCAGCTGGAGAGATTTCATTGGTACATCACTGAGTCTGCACTAAGTATAGATATATCAGAAAATTTATGATGTTGTTGTTTACAAAGCGAAAGAAGCACGTCATATCAGAATAATGAATAATATTTGTTATTTTTGTGGTTGCATTTAATATCTTGGCACCTTTGAGGAAACCTTTATAGTTTATGTTTCACATTTTAGATAAAAGTTTTGATGAGACAGTAGTTGGTCATAACATGAAAATGGAGTATGTTCCAAAGAAAGCGAATCACTATACTCAGTCTAGCAAACCTCAGTCGACATCAGTAGAACCTGCTAATGATGTGGAGAATGCTTTCCAATCTAAAGTACAATCTCATAAAGAAAGGGTAGCCAAAATCAGGAAAGCCAGGAGATCAGCAGAACTTATACAACGAGCATGGAGAAACTATATCAAAAGCAAAAACAAAAAACGGCGTTACTAAAATCATAAATGGACTGTAATATAAGGGTATTTTAGTTAATTTTATGGTATTATTTTTAGTTTTTAGTCTAAATCTGCATTTTTTAGCATTATATTGATTTAGATTGTTGAAAATCATGAAATGTGATTAGTTATGCATTTGATTTTTTTAGTATTTGCTATATTGATAGAAGGCTAGTCAAAATATTTTGTTAAATACCGTCTGTGATATCACTTGTTTACTCATTCCACCAAAAATGTGCTATATCTTAACACTTCATTAACTTCAGGGAATATTCACAGGCACTAGGGAAATGAACACCCCTTTTTCGAAATTTTTTTTTTTGTGTTTTTTTTTAATATTGTAACTTATTTTGACTTATTAAATATGTTCTTGCTCTAATCCATATGATATTACAATAACAGTACAATCAATCAGCTATCCAGAAATTCAAATTTTCATACTTGGGTAGATTTTATTTCGCCAAGTCTATTACTGATGAGGGAGACGTCAAACACATGCTCTGTATGACTCCAAATGCTATACATGAATAATGAAGTCAGATAAGTTTGCAAGGTTTCCCACATTTTATTAACTTTTGGTGGCTGTAAATAATTGGGAAACCTTTCAAACTTCATGATTTATGTATTGCATGTATTGATAAAATAAAAACTTCTCCTGAACTTGAACTGAAATGATGTTAATTCTCATTATTGTAGGTGTAATACTATTTTCCCGTACTATTTTCCCGTTTTAGTAGTACTTGATGTGTCCAAACTGGTTTTCCGCAAAAACAATATTAACTGATCTGATTAGATGAATTTCCTTTTGTTTTATTTTTTACAAAGTCGTTTTCAAAGTTTCTGTAGACAATAAATAACACCCCACGCCAACATTTGGCAGAATTTATGTAAAGACTAGTGCAATGATTTTTACTCCTTCACAAATTTCCTGTTGTAACATTAATGAACACATCATCATTGCCCGTTGATTTTCTCTGTGCCTTAATATTTATGTCTGGATATTTAGAAAACTATCCATCTGTCATGTTCTGTGCCTTGTGTTTATTTTATAGTCAATCATATTTCTAGTTAATGCTAGATATTTTAGAGGGACATAACTTTATGAACTTACACCTTATTTTGTCTATTTTGTTGTAATGAAACTCAGGACTGCAAATTGTGACTTTGTAATGCAAGTTTTGTGGATATCTGTAATTTTGCTTTAATCAGTTTAGACATATTCAAATGAATTGAACTATAAATGACTTTAATACAAACAGCAGGTTATATGTATGGTAATAAGTGCCAGTCTGTAATGGTTATTACCAATCATTCTATTTAGGAGAGTATTTTCAGTGTTGCCAGTGTTAATGACTACATATATTTTTTTTTTAAATACTATGAAGTTAAATACAACAGCATTTGGAAAAACAATAAATCCAAATTATTTTTGTTTGTTTTATGACATTAAGAAAAATTTACTGCTGGTATCTGATACCAGTCAATAAAGCATTAAAATCATAGAGTAAGATTTCTCTGAAGAGGCTTGTCCCTGTTTTGAGCTAATTTAAATCTTACAGAAAAATTGTCTTTTATTTATAATTTTCCGTCCAAAATGAGTTTATGGCCAATATTTTTTTTTTATTGTGATATTGATTTAAAACATTCCATTTTTTTGACAGATATTTTATATTTGATTTTTTTAGAAGTTGATTTTTGAGATACATTTATATTTATTGCATTTATATTTATTGTAAAAACAAAAAAATAGATTTTGCCCTTGTCATATGTTATGTATAGATCAGATTTGGGTAACATGAATGTTGATTTTGTGATGGTTGTGCAAGTTATACAATTATTTCCAGAATGCATTTTCCTGTCTTGAACATCTAAAAGAGGTCCTCTCTTATACTGACCATTGTCTAGGGAAATTTAATCTCATTTGTTCTATTTCTCAGATGTAACAATTTAAATTTAATGAAATAATATATTTATTTTGATTTGACAGTTTATACATGAAATGTCCATGCACAGTCATTATCATTTGTTGCAATAGTAGACAATGGATCCCCCCCCCCCCCCCCACTCAATGCTTTTATTGTTACTACAAAAAAACATCAGAATACTCTTGAATTGTAATGGTGTTTTCTTTGCAGCAGTAATAAAACCACTTATAATGACTGTTAATATCAATGATGTTATAGCCTCTTGTGACCATGACAATTTTAATGTCAATGATGTTACAGGTTTTTGCGATAAAGACTATATTTATATCAGTGATGTTATAGCCTCTTGTGACCATGACATTTTTAATGTCAATGATGTTACAGGTTTTTGTGATAAAGACTATATTAATATCAGTAATGTTATAGCCTCTTGTGACCATGACAATTTTAATGTCAATGATGTTACAGGTTTTTGTGATAAAGACTATATTTATATCAGTGATGTTATAGCCTCTTGTGACCATGACATTTTTAATGTCAATGATGTTACAGGTTTTTGTGATAAAGACTATATTAATATCAGTGATGTTATAGCCTCTTGTGACCATGACATTTTTAATGTCAATGATGTTACAGGTTTTTGTGATAAAGACTATATTTATATCAGTGATGTTATAGCCTCTTGTGACCATGACAATTTTAATGTCAATGATGGTTACAGGTTTTTGTGATAATGACTATATTTATATCAGCGATGTAATAGAGTCTTGTGACCATCACTTTATGTAATCTCTGTGATGTTTATAGACTTTTTGATTCTGTTTGTTAGTTATTACAAATTATTTATTTTTGGCAGCACAAATGTGCTTCAGTGTCTTGTACTTAAATAAATTTTATATCAATGTTCATTATGAATCTTATCCCATATTGTTGCCTTAAATATACCTAATATGGGGAGATTTAAGGGAATAAAAGAAAAGTTCAAGTCATATTTATAGATGGAGTGATTGATAGATTGTTTGTATTTAATGCCAGTTTTAGCACTCATGGCTTTTTCATGAGGGTCAGTTTTTAAAGGTGGAGGAAGCTGGAGTACCCAGGGATAACCACAGACGTTATGTGGGAAAAAATAACAATTATACCCGAGTAAGCTCAGAGTAGAACACACCTGGCCACAATCGGGGTTCGAACTGACAACCTCAGAGTTGACAGGCTAGTAACCACTGTAGATGTTCACATAAGAACACTAGGCCACAGAGGCCCTTTATAAATGGCACTTATAATATAAACCAAAACTCAAGGTCCATACATAACACAAATCTTAACAATTAACAGAATACAGTCAAAACTAAAACTTCAGTAAAATATAGTGATAAAAAATTTAGATGAACATACTCTGCTGAGGCTGAGATTGAAATTACATGAATATGAACATCATTATTTTAAGAGGAAAACAGTCTGGAACATCCCAGTACAGTTCATTGACTTTATAATGTTAATGTAATACTGTAACTAAAGTTTGACTCCACCTTTAACACATCCACACACAATGTTATTCTCCAGTGTTCCATGAAAAACATATAAGAAATAAGATGTCAAATTGACTACAAACTGGGTTTTCTGAAGGTGCTTTCAGGCTTGTTTGACCTGCCACCAAACTGTCAGAATCATCAATACCATAATTGACCGCCATTTTGGTATCACTGACAAACACATGAAAATTTGAAAAGTATTGGTGAAACGATTTATAAGTTATTGCATGGAAACAATGTGATGTGTCATTTTCCAATCTATTGATGAAAATCTTCAATATCGAACTGGACCTTAATTTTGTTATCAGTAACAACATGTTAAAATTTGTAGTATAAATAAAAGGTGATAGGGGGTATACAGAAATAAGACGGGAAACAAACGAATAACATCTTGATGGTTAACATAATCTTCAACAATAAACCAGTTAAAATTTGTAAATCTTATAATTGCAGGATATAGAAATCTACATTACAATGTAAAACTGCCTCTGTGGTCTCATGGTAAGGTGTTATCTTGAGTGTGGGACCTCTACCTAAGTCAAACCAAGTATTTGTCTCTTCTCTACAAAGTATGCAGCATTTTGTAGTCCGAACAATGTGCTCTAGTAGGTGATGAGCTCATGACCACTCTTCTTATCTTGTGAGCTATCACACTCAAAATCTATTTCAGTATGTTGGTCTAGTAGTACAAAGCATGTTATAAATATTGTCATCTAGAATATGCATTCAAACTGACAATCAATCACTGTCAACCAATTGGAATCACTAACTAACCCTGGCAGCCACATCTTTTTGGTCAGATCAGAATAAAATGAAATGCATTCTCAAAAGACCATCCATCAATTATAGCCGATATTTAAGGTCAGTAAGAGAAAACAACAAAAAAGGTGATTTCCCATATTTCTGTTTCAATGTAATATATGTGGTTTCAGTCATACTTTCATACATCTACATAATTCATGCAAAGTTTGGTCCATATTGGCTCAGCATTTTCAGATTTAATTGCGAACATTTTAAAGAAAACAAACAGAACTGACTTTTAAGACAGAGGCCATATCCTAGTGGTCCTTTAGGCTAGGGGAATTTACATAATTAGGTGTTACACTATCTTACAAAACTACTGTAAATTCAGAAATTATTGCGAGGTTTTTATTTATGCAAATAGTGTGACTGGGTTAGTATCGCAATGATTAGAACTCGCAGTCTGATATCTGATATATGCATCTGTATGCAGAATTTCCTTAAATCGCAATAATTAATCTTGCATTATTGTCCATTCTTCATAAATCGCAATAATAAATGTACGCAATAATTTCTGAATTTACAGTAATTAGGATGCATGTACCGGTATTCAGATTTTAATGGTCTAGTAAAAGTACTTCATTAACAACAATTCCTCAGACAGCAAAACATATGAACATAGAAACTTCTCTACTTGGAATACTTTTTAATATTTCAAATTTTGAACAGAATAAAAATTCAATAAATTGCTCCGCTGGGCGCAGCTTGATACGACCGCAGAGTTCGAACCCTGAACAGTTGGGGCAAGTATGGACACAACATTCAAGCTTGATACAGCACTGAATTTGGATTGTGATTAAATATTTGACACAGCATAGGTTTCTGACACTGAATGAATGTGGTATAAGAACTTGAATTTTTTAATTTACCTATTCAAACCATATCATTATTATTTGCTTTTATATATAAATCAGAAATAACCAATTTAAAATGAAAAATTTTAAAGAAAAAAAAGGAAAATAAAATCCCCCCCAAATGTTTTTAACCCCCTTATGATTCATCACCCCCAAAATCAATCCCAGCCTTTCCTTTGTGGTATGGTACCTTGCAGTACAATTTCAGAGAGATCCATACACTTGAACACAAGTTATTGTCTGGAAACTAGAAAAAGGCTTGTTTTTTTTGGCCCCTTTTTCACCCCAAATTCCTAAACGTTTAGGGCAATTACCCCCAAACTCAAACCCAGCTTTCCCTTTGAGATATGGAACCTTGTAGTACAATTTCATAAAGATCCATACACTTACACACAAGTTATTGTCATGAAACTAGAAAAATGCTTATTTTTTTACCCCTTTTTGGCCCCTAATTCCTAAAATTTGGAGGCAATTACCCCCAAAATCAATCCCAGCATTCCCTTTGTGATATGGAACCTTGTGGTACAATGTCGGAGAGATCCATGCACTAACACACACGTTATGTCTGGGATTTACAAAAAAGCTTATTTTTGGCCCTTAATTCCCTAACTGTTGGTACCATAACCCCCAAAATCAATCCCAACCTTCCTTTTATGGTATTGAACCGTATTGTAAAATTTCATAGAGATCCATTCACTTGAACACAAGTTATTGTCTGGCAACTAGAAAAATGCTTATTTTTGGCCCCTTTTTGGCCCCTTATTCCTATTCATTTTGGGCAATTACCCCCAAACTCAATTCCAGCTTTCCTTTTGTGATATGGAACCTTGTAGTACAATTTTAGAAAGATCCATACACTTACAAGTTATTGTCATGAAACTAGAAAAATGCTTGTTTTTTGCCCCTAATTCCTAAAATTTAGGGCAATTACCCCCAAACTCAAACCCAGCTTTCCCTTTGAGATATGGAACCTTGTAGTACAATTTCATGAAGATCCATACACTTACACACAAGTTATTGTCATGAAACTAGAAAAATGCTTATTTTTTTACCCCTTTTTGGCCCCTAATTCCTAAAATTTGGAGGCAATTACCCCCAAAATCAATCCCAGCATTCCCTTTGTGATATGGAACCTTGTGGTACAATGTCAGAGAGATACATGCACTTACACACAAGTTATGTCTGGAAGTTACAAAAATGCTTATTTTTGGCCTTTTTGGCCCCTAATTCCTTAACTGTTGGTACCAAAACCCCCAAAATCAATTCCAACCTTCCTTTTATGGTATTGAACCTCATGGTAAAATTTCATAGAGATCCATTTACTTAAACTAAAGTTAGAGTGCGAAAACCAATGTGTCTTCGGACGACGACAACAACGACGACAACAACGCCAACGTCATACCAATATACGACCACATAAATTTTTTTGCGGTTGTATAAAAATTACTGACCCCTAAAGGTTGGAATATCTCCCTGAAGTTGAAGTGCATAGAGACTCATTCAACAACATCAATGGCATAAAGTAAAATCAACCATATATCAATACACCATTTCTCTAGTCATTCTTCATTACTGGACATCACAAAGGTTCCTGCCAAATTTTGAAGTCATAATAAAATTTTCTGACACCACAAAGGAAAAGTGATTGTTGTACGACGTCAATAGTTAGAAGTGTCGCAAATTCTCAAATAGCAATAAGGTCTATGGTATACCATAAATACTTATAGAATAACTAATCATCTCCTTCAAAAATATTTGTACACCAGTGATTTCAAATTTGTACTTTATAAACATCAAAAGTCCTTGTTAAAAAAAAACTAATCCAAAATTTTGAACATAAAAAAACTAATCCAAAATTTTGAACATAAAACTTATACTCAATGAGTGACAAACAACACATTAATTCAAAAATGTGCACATGAGTGAATTATGTTGTTCATCACAATATTTTCAATATTTGACTTCTTGACATTGACATTTAATATAAATAAAGTAGAACTTTGAAGTCACTGGAACATGACTGCAGGAAGCAGGGATACTTATGCAATTGTACACAAAAATGTTCCATAAAATGAACCCAAATCAGTAATCTTTACATTACGAGTTGACAACAATGATGATGCACAGCCAGAAAAGTGACAATCCTGTCTCATTAATCCTATTTTTTAATAACACAAGAAAAGAATTTCATATCAGTTTAATATTTGATCAGCAAAGATAAATACTATATATTTAGCCAAAATGTCTCTGAGGGGGATTATTCAGGGTCATGACACTGTGACTTTAAGTCAAACTTCAATCTGAATCTCCAATTTAAAAAAAAATGTTGTTCTCAAAGGGGTTTGTCTGAACCCCTCTTGCTACAGGTATTCCATGTTAAAAAAGAAAACTGAAGATAGAAACATGATCTTAGTATTTTAATTTATACAATACAACAAACATTTATGAATATACAATAATTTCATGATTAAAGATTCTATGAGATCAATCTGTATCACAGTTTTGACATATTGTGCTCAATAAACAGCTGCGCACAACGCATAATACCCTATTCTTGTGCATATTGAAATTGTTACAAAAATAAAATCAGGTGTTTAGAAGGCATTTAATCAGAAGCAAATATAATGGCTCCATAGAAAAACACGCATGAGGATATCCTTCGACAAGAATTGTGTCAATTATGACTGTTAAAAGTCTCATAACTCTGGAATGAGAAACCAGAAAAATTTCATAATCAAGAGTACATTCATCAATCAAGGCATACTAGAGTTAGTGCACGAGATGTGAATAATTGCCTTAATTCAAATGGTTCAAGTCCTGTAACTCTGAAATGTCATCGAAAGCTTTTTTACATCAATCCTTGTGTTGTGTTAAAATTGTATGATCATTGCTTAAAGCAATTTTGAGTTAATGTACGAAGTGTTGACTGAGGGATGGACGAACATTGGTATACTATAATAAGTCCTGTCTTGGGCTAATAAAAATCTTACTGACTCTATTAGTCTGGAAACATAATATCATAAGGAGGTAGATTAAGTAACTTCTCAGTTGAGATACAATAAAATATTAGCTTCTCTTGTGGTTCATTTTAAAAAAATGTATGTTTTTCTTCAGTAGGTGCTTTTTAAGGTAGTGTTACTGTATTGGAATTATAATATATTCAATGGAGCAAACGTGTTCTTTCCATGTGATATTTGGGTTAAGTGATACACAAGATCAAAGTGTATAATTGTAACAACTAACTTGTGATAATTATTCAATAGATTTGACAGTTTGGGAAAATGCAGTTAAAACGGAAATTCTTTAAACGAGACAGTTCTTTAATTACAACTGGGATATTTTCAACAAGGCTTTAATTTCAGACATATGAAATGTTTAAATTAGACCAAGAATTTCTTATATGAGTGGTCTAATTTAATGTGTATTTCTGAAGTTGTTTTAAACTGTACTTTCTTATAATTGTCAGAAATTAAATTCTTGCAAAAAATTTCCCCATCAACAATTAATGTGTTCTGACTATAGTTTAGCACCATAGATATATCTATCCTATGATAATAATGTAAATAAACATTTAATGATGTAAAACATTAAATGAAATATATATTTATATATCAAAATACAATTGAGTAAAATGAAAGACATATAAATATTGCCTGAAGATTCAAAACAGCTTATTAATGCCCTCTGCAACTTCTCTGCATGAAGAATAATGACAAGATACAAAAAAGGAAATTCAAATGATATCTTCTTGTCAGTTATAATCTATTTTCTATTATTTCATGACACCTGTACATCCATTCATTATCTCTTTGTTGATATTGTGAAACATTCACATTGCCATTAAATATTAAAGATTGTCTAAATGCTTTATTGAAATCTATCAAGCTTTTAGGAGAAAGGGGTGTTCATTCTTCTATATTATACCTCTACATGTGAGGTTAAGTATAATCAATCATTTATTATGATTGATTGTCCTTTGTCTTACATCTAGAAGCATACTATAGGATAAGAAATGACCAATGAAATAAGGTATATAAGTCTGCAATTTGTAAAGAGACAAACTGACAATTTGGTGTGACTCGAATTGGCTGAAATGATAAGCTATCAAGTTGGTCTAATCTAAAATTATAGACTTTCAATTTGTGTATCCTGAAATAATAGACTCTCAATATGGTGTGGCCTTATTGTGTCTTGAAACAATGGAATATCATTTGAAGTGGCCTGATACAACGGTACATAAATTTGCTGTGGAATACAAAAACAGAGGAAATACATTTGAAAGCACAACATTGTTATAAATTGCACTGAATATTAAACATCATTCTTTTCTTTTGATAGTTCCTGGAATGGATTTTCCTCTTCCCTGTATCATTTAGGAAGACAGATCTTTGTCAAATATGTACTCTCCTAGTCCTGGGCCAACATTCTTTAGCCTGGTTGCATAATCTGACAATGTCTTGATTATTTCCACTTGTTGACCCAAGAAATGGTCTTCAAGGAAATCTTCAAACTAATGAAAATAAAAATTCAATTAAACAATTAGTTACTCAAAAACACATTATTCAAAGAATTCTCCAAACTTGCCAGAATGGCCAACAAAATTCAATATAGCCTATTAAAGTCTACTTCATTTTGGTAGTATATTTAATATCACAACATATTTTTGTAAATATTTTCATTTTTAGTTCTTGTAGAATTTACTTTTGATGGACATTTAGGTCATCCATATTTCTTAATGAAGTTAAAAAAAAAATTTATCAAACTAAAATTGGTAACAAAAGGCAACAGTATTTTTAATGAATCTTTTATGGTCAATTTTTCATTAACAACAGTTAAATCCATGTAAGTGGTTTCTTAAAGAGGATATATACATGTATCATATTCCTTAGTTTTGTAGCAGTCCCACTTTTACAATATTTGCAGGATTTTGAATAGATATTTTGTGGATTTTAATCAAAAAGTAACACATCCCACTGTTGATTGATCAGTGGAGTTAGAATTCATAAGTTTTTCCTAGAGAGATGGGGATGGTATTCACCAACAACATTATCATACATACATGTGCATCACCCTGTGTACAAGAAATCTTGTGTAACAACATTATCATACATACATGTGCATCACCCTGAGTATAAGAAATCTTGTGTAACAACATTATCATACATACATGTGCATCACCCTGTGTACAAGAAATCTTGTGTAACAACATTATCATACATACATGTGCATCACCCTGTGTACAAGAAATCTTGTGTAACAACATTATCATACATACATGTGCATTACCCTGTGTACAAGAAATCTTGTGTAACAACATTATCATACATACATGTGCATCACCCTGTGTACAAGAAATCTTGTGTAACAACATTATCATACATACATGTGCATCACCCTGTGTACAAGAAATCTTGTGTAACAACATTATCATACATACATGTGCATTACCCTGTGTACAAGAAATCTTGTGTAACAACATTATCATACATACATGTGCATCACCCTGTGTACAAGAAATCTAGTGTAACAACATTATCATACATACATGTGCATCACCCTGTGTACAAGAAATCTTGTGTAACAACATTATCATACATACATGTGCATCACCCTGTGTACAAGAAATCTTGTGTAACAACATTATCATACATACATGTGCATCACCCTGTGTACAAGATATCTTGTGTAACAACATTATCATACATACATGTGCATCACCCTGTGTACAAGAAATCTAGTGTAACAACATTATCATACATACATGTGCATCACCCTGTGTACAAGAAATCTTGTGTAACAACATTATCATACATACATGTGCATCACCCTGAGTACAAGAAATCTTGTGTAGAGCCAGAATGGCCTCATTGACCTTTTTCTCCAGACTTAACGATGTCTGTACTGCATCCAAACCAGTTTTCCATTCATCTTTGTCTGGTTTCTACCAAAATACAATTAAAAAAATTGTCATATTAATGGCCACAGGGTAAACATTGCCCATCTGGTAAAAAATTAGAATAAAAGAGATCATGTATCATCTTATTGGTGGGAACATGTACAAGTGAGGCTATCTAGACCATGTGTTGTTCATTGGTGGGAACATGTACAAGTTAGGCTATCTAGACCATGTGTTGTTCATTGGTGGGAACATCTAGTACAAGTTAGGCTATCTAGACCATGGGTTGTTCATTGGTGGGAACATGTACAAGTTAGGCTATCTAGACAATGTGTTATTCATTGGTGGGAACATGTACAAGTTAGGTTATCTAAACCATGTTTGTTCATTGGTGGGAATATGTACAAGTTAGGCTATCTAGAACATGTGGTGTGTATTGGTGGGAACATCTAGTACAAGTTAGGTTATCTAAACCATGTTTGTTTATTGGTGGGAACATGTACAAGTTAGGTTATCTAAACCATGTTTGTTTATTGGTGGGAACATGTACAAGTTAGGTTATCTAGACCATGTTTGTGTATTGGTGGGAACATGTACAAGTTTGGTTATCTAAACCATGTTTGTTCATTGGTGGGAACATGTACAAGTTAGGCTATCTAGACCATGTTTGTTCATTGGTGGGAACATGTACAAGTTAGGCTATCTAGACCATGTGTTGTTCATTGTGGTGTTTGTTTGTACATTTATTGTGTTTAATGAGTTGGTTGTTGGTGATTGGTATTCTCTATTTGTACACCTATTTTTTCGAATGAGTCAGTTGGTAGTGATTGGTGTTTTCTGTTTGTACATCTATTTCGTTGAATGAGTCGGTTCGTGGTGATTGGTGTTGTCTGTTTGTACATCTATTTCATTGAATGAGTCCGTTTGTGATGATTGGTCTTGTCTGTTTGTACATATTTTGTCGAATGAGTCAGTTCGTGGTGATTAGTGTTGTCTGTTTGTACATATTTTGTCGAATGAGTCAGTTCGTGGTGATTAGTGTTGTCTGTTTGTACATATTTTGTCGAATGAGTCAGTTCGTGGTGATTAGTGTTGTCTGTTTGTACATATTTTGTCGAATGAGTCAGTTCGTGGTGATTAGTGTTGTCTGTTTGTACATATTTTGTCGAATGAGTCAGTTCGTGGTGATTAGTGTTGTCTGTTTGTACATATTTTGTCGAATGAGTCAGTTCGTGGTGATTAGTGTTGTCTGTTTGTACATATTTTGTCGAATGAGTCAGTTCGTGGTGATTAGTGTTGTCTGTTTGTACATATTTTGTCGAATGAGTCGGTTCGTGGTGATTAGTGTTGTCTGTTTGTACATATTTTGTCGAATGAGTCGGTTCATGGTGATTGGTGTTGTCTGTTTGTACATATTTTGTCGAATGAGTCGGTTCATGGTGATTGGTGTTGTCTGTTTGTACATATTTTGTCGAATGAGTCGGTTCATGGTGATTGGTGTTGTCTGTTTGTACGGTCTTATGTTAGGTAATTGCTTTTAAATCATTTTTATGTATGGTTGATTAACTAAGGATTATATAAATAATGAAATAATAATCTTTGTTGGTAACTTTAGTCCTCAAGTAGATATATCAAATGTCAAAGTTTCATTTAAAGTAACATAGTTCTACTAAGTAATCTAGATAAGGTAGCACTACAGTCAGAATTTTCAGACGCCAACCAACATTCTTTAAAGATTAATTTCTCCAAAACTACTCAATGGATTTTTAAAATCTTTAACTCATTTTAAAGCTGAAATATTACTCTTTCATAATCCATAGATAAATTTATTTTTGGTATGATAAATCTTAAAATATAGCTCATTAATTTCCAAAAAAGTGGTCTTCCAACTTGGATGGAAATGGTAAATTCAGGTCAAATGGTAGTAAAAATTTGTTTTCATCCCTTTAATCAACCATATACAAACTACAAAACTGTGTATCAGATTTTTGATATATGCCTCCAGTAATAAGATATATTATTTTTACTGCTGGATGCCAAACCTCATTTCACCTTTCATCTTTGGAGACCTATAAATTCATTTAGAAACAAATTATCCAAAAACTGGGACACGGTATTGTAGAAAATACTCCCTTTAATCACATATATCAAAGTCAAGCCAAAGGGGGTACCCATAAAGTTTATATTTTCATTTTTTCCTAACAAATCTCATGAAAAATTGTTCTGAGAAATGACCTAAAAACGGAATTTCCCCCTTTAATAGAACCCCTATAAATGTAACATTAATACAAAAATTCCACTGGGAACACCCCAGGAGTATTCTGACACCATTACTTTATCAATAGAACCACACACTTTGTCTCTTTGATGCTCTTATGCTGTAAATTTTGCATTATGTGTGGCACTGTGCAACACTAACTTGGCATTTGGCGGGAGTTTGACGTCACAGATTTGACCAATATCTGTGATGTAGTAATTAAATATAGACAAAGCTCCGCCTCTGTCAAGACAGTCTAAGATAAGAGAATAACAGGATTGACAAGCTGCATATAATCAATATTTATCATCATTATTCTCACTATAAAGAATAAATTTCATTTGAATTTTAAAAAGAAATATACTATTACTGAAATTTAAGCTAGAACATTAAAATTGTGCATCAAAACACATGTTAATAAAAAGATCCAAGACCATCCACTTCTTTAAAAAAAGACACTCCCACATGATTTTTGAGTTTTATGGAATTGAAAAATTTCAGATAAACTTAAAGTTGGTTAAAATTCCTAAAACTGTATTTAAATGTAGAAGACCAAATTTATACAGGCAGTCAGAGGATTTCAAAGATACTTTCACACTCTTTTCCATATTTTTTTTTCATTTTTTGTAGATTTCATCCTTTAGATTTTTTCCTTCATATCTTTTTCTTTTTCTCTGTTTATAAACATGTTATATATATTACTTTTGTTGCAATACAATGAGATAAGACCACAATATTTATCTTGTGATCAGGGATTAACAGCTGGACACTGGTATCAACAGATGATTGACATATTAGCCCCTCCCAAATGCCTATATATTTAGATAAATTACCATGTGCTTTTATTTACATAAGTTCATTATTAATTTACTCCCTGTTGTGATATGACAATGACTTTGGGATTTTTACAAACTGTGCAGAATAATACTTAATTCAAAATTATGTGATAAAAAAAAATATCTTCAAAAAATCATTGTTAGACTGTAGTACTACCTTAATAGAGGTCTTTCACATTCGTGCATTTCCCCCTACATTTCTAGTGTCACAATGGTTATGTTATTACATAACACTCATAGGCTATGATTCAAACACACCATTAACACTAACTGACCTGACTTTAATCGGTATTAATCATTATTAAAATAGAACTGGAAATTGGTCTTTTATATCTAACAAAATTCTACAAAAGGCCAGGCTTTAAAGATCCTTTGTTTTTACTTTAACCATATTCAGAATTGGATGGTAGTTAATTTCTTTTTTTGTGAAAAAAGTGTTTAATCCTTTGTTACATTTTGAAGAAAATACAACTACATGTATGGTATATGCTTTGTAATTTAAACATACATAATCAATGAACTGTCTTATTACATTTCAAGTTTTATATAGGAATGACAGATGGATGAATCTTGGTAAATCCACTGTATATACATGTATATTTCAGTTAATTCAAAATATATAGTAAGGGTGTACATGCTGAAATGTCTTGAATTCTTTTAAAAATTGTGATAGAATTTTATGTTAAATGTGGCCGTACAGTTTCTTATAGTTGCTTCATTTGGACTCTGTTGGATAGTTGTCTCATAAGCAATCAGGATTGTGTCACAACAAAAAATTAAAATAGCCATTTAAGACATCATCATTATTTAGACTAGTAATACCTGAACATCCTGAAGTACAATTCTTCCACCTCTTTTATTTTGATACTCCATTAACTTTTCTGCCTCACATCTCTTTTGTTTTGACAGTTTCTCAAAATATTTATGGAAACCTGGAAGTGCTATATCATCTCTGTCAAAGTAATATGCCTGGAAATAATAATTTTCATTGTATTGAGTTATGATTTGAAAAAAACAACATTCTGGATATATCAACTGTAGATTCATTATTATAGTCAAATGAAATCAGACATAGTATATCTAGTCTGCATCAATCACTTTTAATAATAAAAAAAAATGTTATTCTTTATTCTAATATGACTGCTTCTTTCGCTTTGTAAACAACACCTTGATAAAATTCTAGATATATCTATACTTAGCGCAGACTCAGAGATGTGCATATTGGTGGTTGTTACTAGTTACCTCCCACGTAAATCCTCATGTATCGTTCCCTATGTGCAAACAGTATGCTGATTTCGTTATGTTCAAATTGAAATTGGTAAAGAAACTACAGAACCGTTATTCCGATTCTAATGCATAACAAAAAGAATTAATGCACAAGAGCTTAAAAAATGTATAAAATCAAAATAAAATAAAATTCCGCGAAATTTCATGAATGATTTTGGCGCAATAACGTCCGATGTCATAACATGACGTCATACGAATGAAAACTCTCAAGCTGAAGGTTTTCTGTTACGTATACGCCCTAAGTTCAGATAATATTGCATTAAAATGGAGTTTTGAGGTAGGTGGTGTTTCATTTTATGTTCTAAAGCATTATTCCCACATTTGTGGATTTCAGCAAGTCAACATGGCAGCTCACTCCTTAGTTATGACATGTCAACTCTGGATTTGAAGTATTTCTTAACTTATCTGGAACTCAAGAATTTAGACAGAACTGAAATTTGAAACTTAAAAAAAACAAAAGAAGAGTGTGTCTGAGGACACCAATGCCCTCACTCAAGCTTGCTTAATATAAAATGTGAAAATACTTTTGGAGAGAATTTGATGTGACTGCTAGTTTTTAAAGAGATCTAGATCTATTGTTCTAGTCTAAGGTTTTTTGTGCTGTGTGTTATTTACATGTTTTCACTGTTATGTTTTTATTTCTTACCGCCTTACATAATAAGCTTTGTGATTTAAGACCTTAATAGTAGTTCAGTGAAGATCACACTTTTTGTCCTTAGCATTGTGTATTAGTGTCATAAAATTTGTATGAGGCAAACTTAAGTTAGAGTGGGAAGACAAAAAAATTTGCAATACCAAGTTATAAAGGGATATAACTCTAGAACGGTGACTGACTTACTGCCCAAATTCTTTCAGCGAGTTTTGGTGCATAGCATGTCCAGTGGAATTTTCATCAACTAGGTAAACTTCTTTCAGCTGATTTTGTATGTTAAGGTAAACATTAAAGAGGGTCGTAATGGGGGTACCTTCATGACGAATAACAGTAAAAATTCTTGCCAAATGAAGTTAACGATAATTTTTGGTCCATGACAATAAAATGTACACTTTCTTTTAGACAATAAAAAACCTACTGATTTTGACGAATCACGTTAATTTTTTTCCAAAAATAACGCCAGGTAACGATAATTATTTGAGACCTCTGACGAATCATGATAAGGATATTTTGATGAATGACGGTAAAATTTTAACCAATTTGACGCTAACTGTAGCCTAAAATGACAGTTTGATGCCTGACGGTAAAGGGCATTCCTATCCTCATTAAACAAGCCGGCATTCGTCAAAATCAGTCTATTTATTAATGTCTAAAAGAAAGTGTACATTTTATCGTCATGCAACAAAAATTACTGTTAACGTCATTTGGCAAGAATTTTTACCGTTATTCGTCATGAAGGTACCCCCATTACGACCCTCATTAAACCTAATGACATGTAATAAATAACACAAAATAAACATCTAACCAACATTTTGGCTCCTATACAACTTCATTTAAATAATATACGGTAGTGATGTGGTCTCAATGTTTTGGCTTATGATATGCAGAAATATCAACTCTTTTAAATGAAAGCAACTATTTTAAATCATTTAATTGGAGGGAGCCACGCAGCGACGCCGACGGACACACAGCGACCAAGCATAAAAAAATGAGCGAGTGCAGAGATTTAATTCTTATTAGATTGGAATTAAAGAAAATTTTTTTTCTCAAAAACAGTTCCCCTCATTTAAAGGATAGTTACTCAATCGGGGAGCCTTTCCCCATTTTGGCGTTCCCAACCTCATAAACAGAACACATTGAAAAAAAATATTTTACCATTGACTGATAAATATAAGACGCATGCAGTTCGAGATTTATATGCTTGTTGATTCCCGCCTCAGTTTCAGCATGAAAGTTTTGTCGAGGTTGTGTCTGAGACATCTTGGGACTGTTTACAGATTTGTGATTTCCTGTGATTCCTTGAATCAAAAAATGGCCGGAAGGAAATAATGAACTTTCTTTGTAGAAAATTCCTCCCCTTTTTGGGAGCACCACAGAATTACATTGAACAGCTGGAACAAAAGTGGATACTTATCTAAAATAAGTTTTTCGTATAATGATATAAATGTTTCAATTTTGATCTTCGTTCAAGTTACCTTTGTAAGAGTTCAAGACAATGAAATATTAAAAAAAAAGATTTTCAGCAGTTAATTTTGCTTACTTTCGTTTTGTTTGTTTGTAATTGAGGTCGATCCGCATTTTATATTTATCGTTTATTGAGGTTTCATGGTTGAGTGAATACACATTGTAAACCGATTGCAAGGATGTTGTAAACAATCTTTGAGTTCAGATATTGTTATTTACACGGATTAAAATGGATATATCATAAAACATGCGTGTCTATGTTTTTAAAAAATGAAGGCATTCATTGCTTTCCCATTTATTTGGACTTTTATATTGGGTAAGTTATGCATTTTATATACGATCAGAGTTGTTACAAAAGTGAACCTTAAACAATGTAGTATTTCAATTAAGAACAAAGTTATCTGAACAGCATGATATTGAAGATGGTGACGATGAAAAATAAAGTCAAATTAAAAAATAGTTCATAATTATGTATAATATGCCTACATAAATGTACAGGAAATTTCAAATAAAATACAGAACTCTATATGTAATTTTTTGTGAACCAACCTACATGTACTATCAAAGTAGCTGAGGAAATCACAATATCCAGTTGTGGTTCTGAAAAAATTTAAATGGGATGGTGGGTAGAAATAATATTATTTCAACAAATAAGTATGAAAAGTGGAAAGTCATACTAATGCAAACTCATACCATTGTCAACTTTTTACAATAAACATTTATAAAAGAGTGTCCAATATCCCAACTGTTTTATAAAATGTTTTTAAAAAATGGATATAATTTTGATATTTATTTGAGTGAAATGTAATGACCACAATTGATTTATCTGAAATTCGGTGAAATTAAAAACCTTGCAAGATTTTCTTTTGTCAATTCTACTTCATGTGTATATATATGAAGTACAAAACAGAAACAAGTCAGTCAGTAGGGTATGCACAAATAGCACTAATTGGAATACTGACCGCCTTTTAAGATTATGTCAATTAACCAAACTCAGTATTAGCTAGTATAGCAAATACTGACAAGCTAGTGTAGCTTGTTTGAAATTGAAAATGTACCTTGAACTATATCAAATATTTTTTTTTAAATGTCTGTGGGAAAATGAACAGTTGGGTTTGTTTAAGTATACATGTACATGTATGCACAATTCAATAAGGAGAATTTCAAGTTGATTTAATGCTGCATGAATAACTTAACATTTCTGCACATGTTACAATCATTTAGCAAGAAATTGCATTCAACCCACTTTTTAAATTGATAGAAAATAATACTTCAATGTTCTTCTGTAATAAACTTGTTTTGTACACAAGGTTCTTCTGGTATCATACCTTCGTGAGGACTATTTGCCATATTGTCAAATACCATGTAAAAATAAAGCTCTCAGAAAGAAGTTGTGGAGTTGTGGTTACCAACACTGATTGACTTAACCATATTTGGCCAGGGTGAATCCATAGTTCTATGAAGAAAACCAATATTGAACAATGCCTTAATGTTTTATTTTTAGTCTTCCAAATGACAAAAGAGTAAAGTGTGATCATTTTTGTGTGGCCTGCAACACATTAGCAGAATGCTACACATGGGATGCTTATCTGTTGGCTGTGGCATTAAATATTTGTGTCAAGCTCTATATAACAGAAGGTTGAAGACCAGGATGCTTCATACCTTCTCTTCAGATGCATTACATGTATGTTACGAAGTTCCCATCTGTTATATTTTCATTGTTCTTGACTTCATTTTTATGGTTTAGTAGTGCCTAAAAAAATTATACCAAAGTTTTTTTGTCGCATGAATTTTTCACTTATTCATGTTATTATGAGTTATAAAATAACTATTTTTGGTATATGGGATCCATGCAAGGTCTACATGTCTGCAGTTTCACCTGGCCTTCACCTCATTTCATGGATCAGTGATCAAGGTTAAAAGTTTTGTGGTCAGGTCTGTATGTCAGATACATGTACTATAAGCAACCAGTCAGCTGTATAAGTATAAATAAGAAGATGTGGTATGAGTGCCAATGAGACAACTATCCATCCAAGTCACAATGTGTAAAAAGTAAACAATTATAGGTCAAAGTACGGCTTTCAACACAGAGCCTTGGCTCACACTGAACAGCAAGCTATAAAGGGCCCCAAAAAGACTAGTGTAAAACAATTCAAACAGGAAAACCAACGGTCTAATCTATATAAAAAATGAGAAACACTTATGCCGGCAACCACACCAACAAACGACAAACAGGCTCCTGAATTAGTACAGGTGCATAAAAATGCATGGAATGAGTTAAAGGTGAACATGTCAGTCAGGCAGGTTTCATCTGACCTTGACCTTATTTTCATGGTTGAATGATTGGTCAGTGATAAGTTTTCATGGTTTTGTCTGTTTCACATACATGTACTATAACTTCTATAAGCAATATGTTAAGTATATTATTAGGCATAGAAGGTTTGAATGCATGGTGTACATGGATCATTGATGATGTGAGGTTTATGTGATACTTGTAATAAAACTTTTATCAGCTTTAATGATTGTTTGAAAGAAATATTTATTTAAAGAATTGTAGCATTTCTCAAGTTGCTGAATATAATGTTTTTGTATATTTTGTATTTATAAGTCTTCATTTGATGTACAAAATGTAGTTTGCATTCAATAGCAACATTTATGTAATATCCATAATGCTTATAACATTTATTCTATATGTATATATATATTCTTGTAAGGCAATAAAACTTTCCATGAAATCTTGAATAAATTTCAAGTGGAAGTTACAAGCTACATATATTACAACTTCAACTACCATTTTACAAACACAGTTTAAAACACTTGAAGCTCATAAATATCATGAAATTTTATGTAATTAAATTGAATAAAAGTTTTTATCATTTTTTAGATAAGTTCAACAATAATGATAATTTAAATAACTACTGTTTGGGATATATGCCAGTAAGTTTTTACATTAGACATTTTAGAGGGTTGTGTTTTTTGTCAATCGAAGGCAGATTGCAGTGGTTATGTAATAAATGCACCCCTTGTGGTACTACAGATGTCAAATTTCAACATCAAAAGGGAAATATTTCTTCCATGTGTCACTGAAAATAAACACCAGTAACAACATAATCTGTTAAAAAAGTTCTTGCAGCTTAAAGATTAGGAAGTTTGGACAAGTTAAACATGTTCTGTTACTTCATGGCAGGTATTTTTATAATATGTATTTTTTTAGAGGAGAGTTGTAATTTTTACTTATCTCTTTCCCTTCTTCTTTGAAGAACACCCCCCCTCCCATTTCTATCTATTGACTGAGTTTTGATGATTGTTGTGTGATACATGTATGTAAGTGTGATGGATTCAGGGGGCGGTGAAGAGGGCATACACCCCCCCCCCATTTGATCAGAAATTTATATCATTTCTTAGCTTAAAATCGTCTAAAAATATTACTTCACTTTTATGGAATCATGCCCTCCTTTGAAAAATCCTGGATCTGCCCCTGATAATAGTGTTAATATTGAATGAAATTATATAAAGTTGCATTTCTAGTTATTTTGATGTTCTTTCCATGTTGATGCTGTACACATGGTACATGTTTATGTATTGTTCTAACTGGTTCACTCTATACCCTATTCTTTGACTTTATCAGACAATTTCATTTTCATTATTACTTTTAAGTCTTTGATTCATAATCATGTAGTTTTAGATGATTATAAAAAATAAGTGTCTTTTCTTGTTCTCATGGTATTAGTCTGTCCAGTACAGGGGCGGATTCAGGCGGGGGGCGTGGCGGGCGTGCACCCCATAAAATATGCAAAACATGGGTTGTCTTCAGCTCAATAAAGAATATTTCGATAATTTTACCTCAAAAAAATTTCAGTTTGCGCCCCCTAACCTAAAATCCTAGATCCACCCCTGGTCCAGTATATCATGTATATATATATGCATGTTAAGACAAGGAATCTCATTATTCTGTGCACAGTGTAACTGTTCATCTGAGACATCAATCCTGATTCAATGTTTGTAATAGTCTCATATGGTCTATGTTTGATGTCTTTTGGCTGGCATTGATCACATCTTATTATTTTTAACTTCCATCTTCTTGTGTGCAGAGCACTACAAATGTAACTGGTACAATGGTGCATACATATATTTGTCTATTTACAAATTTTTTGTTAAAAGTTATTAACTTTCAGAAAGTTTAGCCAACATTTAGAAAGGAGAGTGTAGATATTTTGCTGGTTGTGGGCTGCAGGTTTATATGAAGATCATAAATATATTTGGCCTTTTAATTTACAATGTTAAAAGAAATCTCCACTGTTTTATTTTTTTGTCATCAGAACTGATATCATATCATTGTTTACTGTATGGAAGAACTGCTGCTCATAAAATCATGTCTATTGTAAAGTAATTAATGATCCAAGTCCTGCATCTTTTGCTGATAAATGATAATACTTATATGTATATCTGTGTATAAATCTATTGTGTATTGGTACTGTAATCAGTAAACATAGTTGAGTTCCTTGAGGAATGATTTGTTTACTGGAATTCGTTTATTAAGATAACTGTTGTACATGCTCTAAATATCTGCTGCAACATTGATGATCCAATGTCAATCTTACTTACTTTCAACATATCTTTATTGTGTTCAGTGGATCTCGTCCAACATACAACATGTGCAATTCTGCTTGTTTCTGATGTCAAAATATTTCTTATCTACAACAAGTGATTTTTTAGGTCAAAATGCAATTATGTATAATTGAAAAAGGGCATAATGAGGTCGTATATCTAAACAAATACTGCAGTGCATAGCAAAAGGAGACCTGAATGAACATATCTGTTTTGAGTAATAGGACTTGTAAGGAGAAATAGCTAGTATAACTTTTGCATTGTGTACATGTTTTGTCTCCTTTCTACTATAATCTTTTAGAAAGAGAAAATATATTACAAATATCCTATAAAAAAAAAAAAACCTACTATGGAAGGTGATATAATGTCTCTTTTTTAAAGTTTTTTAATGGCAGTTAAAGAAAACAAGTAGGTGATCTTTATCCCTGCCCACGGAAACTTATACTGGTAATTTTTTATATTGTCTTTTTAGTCATATTTTACCTGAAACCAACAAAATTTAAATAAATTTTATACCAGGAATATATATTTGTAAGGGATACTGCCTGGGTCATTCACTGCCTAACAAGTTTGACCTTTATAATCTTTAAGATAACATGACATGAAGATGTATTTGTACAGATGTTGTATCAATAAAAGTAGGTGTGAAATAAATAAACAAACTGCCAAGTACTTGACACCTGGAATACTGGTACAGACATGTTAAAG